CTGAAGTGGCAAAGAGCTCAAAGCCCAGCTCTGAAGGACCACTGTTCATACAGGTTCACTCACACTAATTCCAGCTTGGACCTTTCCTACATCTCCTAAGGACTTCATCAATTTGTGTTCATTCTTCCTTCTTTTAGCTGACTTAGAAGTATGACCTCTTACTGTGGCTCTGGACTGACCTGTGTTAAAAGGTGGAATTCAGCTGAAGTGCCAGCAGGGATTTCAAAAAGGTGGTATTACACAAGTCATACATACTAACTACATGCACACTGCTGACAGAATCACTCCAGGTGCTCCGAGTTCTGCTTTCTTCGGGACAAGAACTAATCCATCAGGAAGGTTTCACTGTAATCACTGTTTCCAGGAGACAGGGTGTGATTCTGTCAAGAGGCCCACTCGGGCTGTATTTGGCATCTCTATCTCCACATTTCACAGTCCAAGGACCAAGGCAGAGGGCTGATACCACTGGCTGCTCTCTGCCCTTGCCATAGTCTGAGCCTAAGCACGCATGACACGTAGCCCTCCTTTTAACACTGGAACACACATAAAGAACTGTAAGTGAACTGTGGTTCTTTTTGGTGAGCAACCAGCTGGGGAACAATTTACCCCTGTTCTATCCCTGTGGAAAGTCAAGTCTGCAAGACTCAGTGCACAGTTTATCAGGAGGACCTTCAAAAGGCGGAGTCACTTTTTCTTTGGTCATGACATTGGGTTAGAAGAACTTGTCCACATGTCACATGCACTGGTCCCTGTCAACAGAGCTTGATCTAGAAAGTAAAAGGCAGTACTTCTCTTTCATAAAGCCAGTTGCGTCAGAGGTCATCATTAGCTCATCATATTTTGAGGCCATGAGTCTTAGCTAAAACTTGTATCTTCTTTCAATATTAATTAACTATAAGAATGTCTAAAGGCAAGATTCCCATTGGAAACATTTTGCCTCTTACTACATGGACGTTTTCTCTGCTTGCTTCTGACTTCACATTGGGAAGAAACTTCCTTTCCTTGCAATGTAATGTGGCATCAGTTTCCTCATGTCACCACCATTTTTGCTGAAAATAAGAGAGCTGCAGGATAAGCCTTGTTTTGGTAGGAATGGCAAAAGGTTACCAGTGTTTGAAGGTCTATAAAATAACTTTAATTTCTAAAATTTTTAATATAAATCGTTTTTCTGCCTCATCCATTTCCCAGACAACAGAAGATCATTCTTTACATTGCACATTCTGGAATGCTACAAGCATTCTTATTGCCTTTTTTTTTTTTTTTTTTTTAATTGTCCAATCAAACATTTTCAATTGTCTTAAATTCACCATTTGGCACAGAAAAGAGACCAAGCCCATAACTCTTCTCATCTCCACATCTGAGGTCTGCCTCTGCTGAAACACGTCCATTTCACCCTGACTGATAAAAAAAAAAAAGTACCCATAATGAACTGTTCTATTAAGCCATGTGATAAACATTTTCAGTTAATACAGCCCTGAAAAGATGAAAGGACTTGCAAGAACAACTAGCTAGAATATAAATTCACTACCAGTGCCTGCTGCCTTTTTAAAACCTAGCAATCCATCTACCCTCCAGTGCTTTAGTGCTACATCTTACACCCTTCTATGAACAAATGAAGACACAACAGAAACCTGTTGAAATCTCTAAAGCCATGTAAAACCCGAAGGCATTAAAATTTATTAAATGATGCAATAACAACAGAATTCTTTATTTACAATAGCATTATTTAACATCAAATAAGCAAATAGCATCAGCAAAGCAATATTAACTTGCATAAATGTATTTAAAATTTCTCTGAATATATCTACCTTTGCATAAACTGCTAACACTAGAAATACAAACATCAATGCAGGTGAACAAAGTGATGTTCAGAGTCAACTCCGTTTTGAAAATAAATCACAACCTGAAACACTGTAAGCTTTCTCCTGAAGAACCATAGTTTATATATTGCTTAATTTTACCCTTGTATAATCTTTTCATATACACACATCTCAGATGCAACTTCATGATGAACTGTACAAATAAAACCCACAAATGACATAAAGGGAAAAAAAAATTAAATGACAGTAAATGTTTGAAGAAATGTGTCCATCATCTCTATTGAACAACATAAAGATTAAGTGATGATGCACTTATTCCAAAATTGTACACAATTCACTATACAAATATAATACATCAGACAGCTATGTAGGAATATACAAGACTTAAAAACAGATCTAAGGCATTATGCTAGATTTTAGCATTTTGAGGTTCTTGCACATAGCTTTTACCTGTAGTAAGAAACTTAAAAGATTTTGTTTTAGTCTACAAAGAAACACCAGGGAGAAAATTCTAATTAAAATCAAAGCCACTACAGTAAATTTTCTTTTGTGCAGAGAATGCTTTTGCTCTTAGGCAGCATACTACCATACAAATACTAGAAAACTTTTAAATTCACACCAACAATTAATGGCTTAAGTTGCATTTCAAAACTGATTGTGTATCTTTGGGTTCTGCAAGTGGAGCTGTGCCACCCATTTCTTCTGTTAAGCCCATATGAATTCCACTTTTAAACAAAGATTAAAAAATGTATTTTATAAACTGCAAAAACATTGCTTTTAATTAATACAGGCCCAAAAGGATACCGGTGTGGGACAATATTTTAAGGATTGAGTACAAATTAACTCCTTGTAGCAAAACAGCTCACTTCACTTTTTAAACTCACCACATTACATGAACACTTAAACGGGTCGTACGACCATGTATATATGCTTATTTTTCACATTATGCGCCTTTCACATTTAATAATGTAAATAGAACACTGATTAATTGTTCTCTTAAAACAAAATCCAAGTACTTTCTCCGACAAATTTACTGTATACAGGATGAAAAATACTGATAATGAAGGGAATTGATTTGGCTTTTTTGTTTCTATAGTGATCAATATGATCAGAAGATTCCTTCACTCACTTTTCTCTTTCATTACTTAGAAGACGACAAAAGTCACAATGAACCCAAATGGAGCCAAAGTGATAGGTACAATCTCCTTTCTTTCAAAATGGCAATGAACGATGAAATATCATAATCACTACAGATATGGGTTTGCAGGTCTGTTGTGAAATGGGACAAATTTAAACTATTTTTTTCCACTGTGAAAAAGAATAATCTATCTGCAGAGGTTATGGTTAAGAACCAAAAAAGAATGGAATAGCAACAAAATTATTTTTAAACTCATTTACACTTTGTGGTGCATGAAGTTAATTCCTTCAAATTTATACATTTCTTATATAAGTATTTTTTTTTTTTGTCAGATACATAATGCAAGTTCAAGACCAATGCGGTAGTAATGAGGCTGTGGAGGTTAGGGCTGATGGTTATTTTTGTTTCCCATCAGCAGGTCAAAGAATGGCTCAGCTGACTAAACATTCTGTTTGAGTTCGGCAACAGAACGGTGACAGCTGAAAAAGTGTTGCTTCTCCAAAATGGTGGCACTCTCTTCTCTAAGGACAAACACAGAAACAGCCTTTGTCATATTTTCCTCAGTCTTAACATAGCATAGCTGCTATTTTATTTGAACTCCCACCTGAACACCAAAACAAATTAAATGACAACAAGACAAACCTTTCAATCCCAAAAGGCAGGGCTGATGAGATATTATAAAATGCATTGCATTTTACATTTCATCAAAAAATTTGCATTCAGATTAGAAAGTTTGTGGATTAGCGTCCTGGTTCCGGCCAGGATAAGGTTAACTTTTGCAGAAGCCAGGAGAGGGCATGGCTAGGACCCGGAGGTTATTCTGTAACACCTCACATCATTGCCGAGGGCAGGGGAAGGGAGTCTCTTCCCGGGAGAAGGGCTCTCTTCTGGATCAGCGCAGTGGCGGAGGGAGCATCGGGCATGTCCTGGGTTTCCGTGAGAATCGCTTGTCTCTTTCTTGTACCCTCTGTCACTAGTACTGTAGTCGTTACTGTTTTCTTATCTCATTGCTGTTTCCAGGAAATTGTTCTCATCTCAACCCATGATCTTTACCTTTTGTGCCTCCAATTCTCCTCTCCAGCCCTCCACAGGGAAAGATGGAGGTGGAGGGAGCGGGCTCACGGTTTGGAAAGTCTCAGTGGGAGCACTGAATTACGGAATACCATTCCTAAACAATTAGGAACCAGCGGAAAGAAAACAGGTCAAACTCATCAATTTCTTAATATTCCAAGTCCTCAGAAACTGATGTCAGTATAGTAAAAGATTATTCAAACCACAGTGGGCAAGGAAAAAAACCAACACACCTTAACAGCGGCCTGCTTAGTAACAGTTTTTCTAAGATTTGTTACGAAAGGATATAAACATACAAAAATCAAGAACTGGTTCCTACAGTGGCTGCATATAATATAGGTTAATTAAATGGTATTATGAGCAGAATCACAAGGCTTAGAAAATGAGAAGTCTCAAGCCTACAAATTAGGTCTAATCAAGGCATTGTGATCCTTTACAAAACACTTTTCCAGGAGACACACACGGCTAAGAAGATATCTAATTTAATACTGAAGTACCTCATTTGGAATCAACTTCACAACATGTATATCTCACAAAAATTATACAAGTAAAACACTTAAGTTTTCAACTTAAATTATTGCTTGTTTACATATAAACTGGATTTTATGTACCTTACAAAACGTCTTCATAGTCCACACTGCTTTAAAATAATCAGAAACATGATAGTGGTGAAGTCTGTAGTGATATCTGCTATAGGTAATACAGGAATTGTTATTTTCCCAGCTAAGGGGATGGGAACCAGAAATTATCATGCTTTAAAGCAGGTATCTTTGATATTATGCACCAATTCTGCCACTACCATAATCATTACATGCATTACCATTGAACTTTGCTGTTCGGCATCCAGTAACTGGCTGAGCAGATTGCTGGAAACACACCTAAGGAAATAACGGAGTAACCTGTTTTTTAATTCTACTAGAAAGAGTTAGATGACAGAGGTCAGGAAAGCCAGGTTAAAAAAAAAAAACAGATTTGCTGATTGTTAGGAATTTAATTAAATGAGAATGTAACCAACTTGTATGTTTGGATTAATGACTTGCATCATAAACACTACCACAAAACCCAACCAAATCACCCCTTATAAACAGCCCTCTCACAGGGTAATTTTCATCTGTTTCACAACTTTAACCCCATTCAAAATTGGTCTGTATAGTTTTCTGCATCAGTCGATCTTCTGTGACTTGCTGTCAGTGGAACATGCTAGTTGGAGGTCTCTAAATGTACCAGACGTTGCTTCTATGCCCTCCTCCATGCCTCCTCTCTGCCCCAAAATGCAGGCCTTAGTCTAAAACACCAGTTTTCAGACAGAACTGAATCCTTTGCACCAGACTGTGTAAGCCAGGGAAAACAAAGCAAAAAAAACCCCAAGGTCTAGAACTAAACAGAAACAGAACAAGAGCATGGTTGTTTTTCCTTAAATACATACATTTAAATACATTCAATCTGACATGGTTTATGAAAATTGCCTGTCAACATTTACTTTGCAGGAGAGATCTAAGTTGCACTAAGGTGAATGCAGTGAACAGACTGAGCAATGTCTGTACGCTAGCTTCAGACTGTCAAAGAAGAGGCTGCTCTTCGGCAAGGATCCCCGCTCCCCTCGGGAAGGCAGGGCTGAGTCCTGTTGGCAGCAGGCAGCCGCCGGGGCTGGCAGCTCCGCGGGGACACGACAAACAGACACAGCTCTTCAAACTGGTAAGGGTTTGGGGCCGTAAGCCCAGTCAGCTGAAGAAAGGAGCAACCAAACCACCCTCAGGGTCAGCAATATTTCTGCAAAAGAAGAGAAATGGGGGAAAAAGAAATGAATTTTTCCTGCTGGGATAGTGAGGATGGACAGGTCAACGAGATCTGGGATGCTAGAGTGCAACATCCACTGGCAACTGTGCATTACTGTAATGCTTTACACCTGAAATTTAATTGGAATTTATGAAGGTAAACTATTCTTTGTGTACACTGATACAACTGACCAGTGATTTAGTTCCTTTGATATCAGTGGTGGTTTGATTTCACTGCATTCTTAGGTCCTTAATTCATTTAAGTTATCCTGGATGTTATAATAAATCAAGGTCATCCACCTCTTGTAAAATCCAGCTGAAGGCATAGCAACAGGGTTTAAAAGAAGTCTCATTCTCAGAATATGTACAAAAATCTCTCTTAGTGCTGCATCACTGTCAAAGGAAACAACTGCCCTGGCACACTTTCCCTTCCAAGACTCATAATGAAAAAGGGAATAAAGAAGTAAAGCCAGCTTCAGCTATGGATCCCTAGAGATGTTTTTTACCTCATACTTAATACCCTTGTGATGTCTTTACACAAATATAGTACAAACTGGTTTCAGCTGAGTTGATTATCTTCTTTCTTATTCACAAAAACATCAGGATGTGGTTTTCACAGTTGTTTTAAGACCACTCCTTCCAGTGGCTGCAATCTGTGACTTTCTGTCTTCCTCCCCTTGTAAATGCCTGCTCCCATGGGGTGCTGTGGTCAGTCAGGTCAGAGAGTCAATCCAGCCAAACCCATTTTCCTCCTCCCCTGGGATTGCTTTTCACTCATCCCATGGCTCTGGCTGTGGAGCAGCTCTTTGCTCACAGCTTCCTGTCACGCATGAGGAAGGCCCTGTTTGCTCAGGGACAGTGCTGGTGGGTAGGCAGCTTTCTCACCAGTCCACCTGCGTGCTGCTAGGCTGCCTTCTGGAAGCTGCCTGTACTGTGCTTTGGACCTTACCACACCTTCCTCCGCACTCTCACAAGGCCTAGAAATGCAGCTTTGCTGACAAAATCAGTGCCAAGAATTATCCTGCAAGGCAGGAAAGCAAGGTCCTACGTTTTGTACATCTCCTATTCCCAGTTTAGCTGCTGCAGCTGGAGCTCCTTGGGTGTGACCAGCACTGGGTCCTGCTCACGGCTCCTCCTTCATCACAGCACAGAGACACCACACTCACATCCCTCATGCCCTGACTAATACGGCCAAACTAAGCTTTGACTCCTCTTTCTAACATGCTGAGAGGCAGTTCAGGAACCCTGTTAGTGGTTTTTGAAGTGGAAGCAAAAGTGAAAATCCAAAGATGTCCTTATTTTCAGTGTGGACATTTAGGAAACAGTATCTCCAGAGAGATACTAAATAAACACTCCAACTATACCAGTGACTTGAAAAAAATTACATAATGCAAAAGTTGCACATTAATTACACAACCTGAAGTTTCTTAAAGAAAAAAAAAAAAAAAAGCTTTGTTGGAGTAGTTTATGGCTCAGCTGCATGAAAAAAACAGCTGTTTAACCTCTATTACAGTTTAAAGTTCAGTGAAAGGTATATAAACTGCATTTTTATTGACAGTCAGAGGTACATTAGTAGAATAAACATAAAATCACAAAGTGCAGTCTGATGTACCTTTCCAAAATAATTTGAGAGGTTTGAAGAAGTTGCTTTTCTTCAGGTGAAATAAAGCTTCTCTTATGCATTGCTACTGTCCCTCTCATTATCATAGCACTGACTCCATTATTATGATTTTACACCCCAGAGATTCCCTGCCAAAAGTCATGCCACTCATTTCTCTCCACCATCTCTCATACCCTTTCTGTCACATTCATTCTCTTCAACAATTATTTAAAATCTACCTCCTCCTTTAGTCTGCTTCTGTCTCAACATCCTTATTCCCTTTCCTCAGCAGTACTTGCTATTTTCTTCTCTTAGCCAAGCTTCTCTTAAGCCAGGCTTTTCTTAGCACACGAAATTTAACTGGTTAGGGAACACACTAAGTAGGAGACCTTCTAGCAGCCTCCCAGTACTTAAAAAGGCCCATAAGAGAGCTGGAGAGGGACTTTTTACCGTGGCATATGGTGACAGGACAGTGCGCAATGGCTTTAAGTTGAAAGAGAGTAGTTCAAGATTAGATATAGGAAGAAATTCATTACTGTGAATGCGGTGAGGTACTGGAACAGGTTGCCCAGACAAGTTGTGGATGACTCACCCCTGGAAGTATTCAGTGTTGGATGGGGCTTTGAGCAAGCTGGTCTAATGGCAGGGGGTGCCCTGTCCATGGCAGGGGGTAGGTATCTTTAAGGTCTCTTCCAACCCAAACCAATTTATGATTCTGTAATAATGCCTTGGTATGTAACAGCTTCTGCTAGAGCAGAATATACTGCATCTTTTTATTAATCAAAGTGACTATGAAATGGCTGCAGAAGAGACTCTTTATATACAGATCCCCCACTCCTGGAGACAGACATTTGTATGTTTATATGAGCAAGATGAAGATGTGAGAAGAACCGGCTTCTGGGAAGTTTTAAATACATATGAATACAAAAAAGACAGGGATACAATAAAATATATGTATGGTTACTTCTGCCTCAGTACTTTCACATTCTTCATTTTCACTCATGTTATTAATTTTTCAGACAGATATTTCCAACTTCCCCTATTACTCAAATTCCTGTTCTTTTAACAGCAGAGACCTTAACCACGCCCGGCCCAGGAGGAGGCGCCGCTAGATGGCGCCTCCCCCGCGTCACTCGGCCGCTCTCAGTCTGTCCGTCCATCGTCCATCCCTCCCTCCCTCCTTCCTTCTCTGTGTCCACAGAGCAGTCCTCCCTCACATTAATTACTATTATCCAGGGCACTTGGAACTTTGTAAGTAAAAAGGTATCGTACCCGCTCCAGCCTCAGTATATTCACAGCTCTGCTGTGCCCGTACCCCGTTTCTTACCCGTGCTGCATCTCCGTCCTGCTTTATCATATCCATTCCAGGCAGCTGGTTTGGAAAGAGATTGCCTCCCCTCATAGCAGGATCATTAACCTATTGGTAACAAAATATTAAGGAGAATGAATCAAAAAATATCTTGGGAGGAGGGCTGGGAATTCAGAAGAAGGATTACAGACTATTACACTACTTGCATGTACCAATGTCCACTCCTGAGACAATGCTCAAGTCAGGGAAGTGACTGCATAGCCAGGCACTCCTCTTGCACAGCAAGTGTTTGACTTATATTATCCTGCTGCGCAGTCAACAACAAAGATTTCATTCCTGATACTATGACGCTTATGCCTATTTTACAAAGCAGGTTCCATAAATTATGTCAGTGTTATCTGAAGAGGAAATCCCTGCTATCAAAGTTCTGAAAGCAGAAACATGTAACTACCTCCCTAACCTCAACATGCGGCTTTGCTGCTTGCAAACCACCACACACTTTTTTTCAAAGCCTGATGAGATAACATGTAGGCTAAATTACACCAACTACTGACTTAGTTTTAACAATACTTTTCTGTTCGTAAGCAATGGGAGAAGGACAACATTAAATGGGAAAATGTGCAGTGGCATGCTTTTCTAAAGGATGGTCTCCACAATCTTCTGAACACAGTCACAGGAAAGTATTGAAGCTGTGTGTTTCTGCACAACCAAAAGGTCTGTCATGCTTAGTCATGTGTAATTTGCCAAATTTACAGCACTGCTTTCGCAGTCAAAGGATTAATCTCACCATGTAGGAACTGGCATAAAATACAAAACAGTCCTTCAGCAAGTTTCTGAAATATCAGAAGAAACAGTTTTCTTTACAAAGTTTATCAGGGAAAGAAAGAAACCTCTTTCTACGAAGACTTTCTTGAGTCAATTCTGCTCCCTCAGAGTAGATCCCATTCTCATGACACTCTCCCTCCAGACATATATATTGGTAAAATCTTGTCTCAGCCTTCTCTTGTTGAGGAAGACTGTCTTGAATTCATGACACAAAGTCTTCTCATTTCAGGTCCTCCTGACTGTTATTTCTGTTGCTAGTCACTGATTTTGAAAAATACATTCATATGCAACCACTTAAAGATTGGTTTCCAGTCCTGCCAAAGACTACAATTCAATGGGAAAGATTAAAAACTTAAAATATTTTTGCCTTAGGAATTCTGACTCCAAAGAAATTAAGTGCTGCGAGCTTCCTAGTGATGCTTTTTGCTCCTTGGAGAGATTTTTAAATCTGAACATGAAAAATTTAAATCAGAACGGAAGAGAACCACATTATTTTATTCAGAAAGAGAGATAACAGAGAGCTTTGCAGCTCTATCTGCATGCAATTGATGAATCCATGTTTAAAAAGTGCTTTCTGCTACTAATCAATATTCATTAGAATGTGCAAGCACAAATACCTTTTCTGATTGTTTAGTAGACAAAGGGAGGTAAAAATGAAAGCAGAAATAAACAATTTGTATCCTGAATCAACAGCAGTTTTGGAACCAAAAGATGACTGCATGATTTGCCTCATGGTACTTAGGACAGGTATGGAAAAGGAAGGTGGCTCCAGGCCACTACAAAAGGAACAAAGGCATCAATGAAGTTTCTATTAAAGAATATCTTTGCCACTAATGATGCAAGAATCCTGACTGACATGGTACCAGATATAAAGAAAACTCAATCCAAACTCAAAAAAACTATTTTGTCATATGAATACATTTGCTTCAGAAGACCTTTAAACACCTGACATTAACTTTTCTGACTGCAAAAAAAATCAGTTAGAAAAGTATGGAGAAGGACAAAGAAATGGAAAGGTTTTCAGAATTTTCTGAAGAAAGGTAAAGTGGTGTTAACATACACAAAGTTTGACAACAAAAGAACAAAGATGTTTTACAATTCCTTTGCAATCAAGCAAAATTAGTAGTCTCCCATAAACCAAAGTTATATACAAGGTGTGTAACAAGCAAAGTTTCCTACCACTCCAGAGCTCCTTTAATCTGGTATTCTGAACTAAATCAAAATACCACTTCAAGATAACTCTTCTTAAATGCCATGATAATTTCTGCCTGGGGAGTACCACCCTGTGCAGATTAATACACAACTACTCTGACTGGACTTCTAAATATGGGTTTACATCAGATAGTGAAAAGCCTCTTTTCTTGCACAGGTTTCAAACTGCTTCTTTGGTAGCTCAGTAAATAGCCCGGATCCATGATACAAAATAAGTAACAGGCAAAACCATGGCAGTAGTCCACTGTGCCAACAAGAAGATGAGGACAAGGGCACCGTAAGATCTCTGAATGGTGCAACACCAGGAAGGTTTACTTTCTTGATGCCTGGGGAAGTTGTTTTGGACAGGAGGAACCTGCAGACCTGGCAGCCAGCATTTCAGCATTCCTGGTAGCAGCCTCCTAGAAGAAACACTAGTAAGAGCAGCCTGAAGAGATTTAACGTAATTGTAAGAGCAGAGACCATAATGAGACAGGATCTCATTCTTCAAATATATAAAAGAGCCTCTAAGTATATAATAATTACCAAGCCCATTTTGGCCACAATCTTTTTGCTTGGTGCTGGGAGCCCAGGTGGTAAACAAGAGAAGTTGGAGATAACACAAGTGTGATCAGATAAACACCAAAGTATTTCTGAGCTCTGGATGTATCTGTCTGACACAGCATAGTGCCACAAGAAGAGAAGAAAGAGAGCCCACAAAATCTGTTTGGTACCAGGGGTAATACACCTGCTTCTCACAAGGTAAGTCAGTTCAAGCACAGCTGTTTATTATTAGGTAGTAAGATCTTACTTCCAAAACCATCCAACAGTAATAATGTTGAGTTTTTTTAAAAACTAGAACACATTTGCAGAGAGTAACAGTGAATCACTGTTAGTCTCACTGTGGTTAGAAGGAGACAAGCATGTGAAGTTCAAATTATGTATTGTGGAACAAAAAGTGACACTGAATAAGTAAACAGAAGTGTAGGTGACAGTATAAGAAAACCCCACAGAATGAATGAAATGGCAACAGTCAGCAGAATTACAGAAAATAAAGTCATTTTGAAAACCACTAGTTACAAGAAAAAGTTCAGCAGAGTCTAGGTCAATTGCTAAATAAAGATGTCACTTAAGTAAAACACTATGCCCTGAAAACAGGAAAAAAAAAAGTGTCAATTTTAGTATTCAAGTATACATTTTTAGTTACTTGTGTTTCTCAAGAAAGAAAATGCAAAGCAGTACAGCACATTCCTGAGGACTAAAAAGCACTGTCTTGTGGCCCAGAAATGGCCCCTCAGCTGTCAGCTGGCCACCTCTGACCTAGATCAAGCATAAAACATTTGCCTGCAGATGACACAATGCTGGGGTGGTAAATAAGAGGAAACAGGTTACTGTTACAGAATGAGCCACAGCACTTTGCTTTAACAGACACCATCTAAGAGATGCAATTTGATGGAGACAGGAGGGAGGCAATACTTCTGGGAACAAAGAATGCAGGTTTCATCTTTGTGGAATGTGTTGAGGAGAATTTGGGGGACCATCATAAGGGTTTCATTGTGACATCGTCACGAAAAGAACCAAGGCAATCCATACACTGGAAGAGAAATTACAAGCAGAACCTGACTCTACACAGCTGTGGTGCAGTCTGTTAAATCACTGTCTCTGGTTACTCCATTCACATTTCTAGAAGGAGGTTACAACAAAAGAGTTTAAAGTAGATCCAAAAAAGGGACTGATGGGCTGAAATCCAAATGTTGAGATGGATAAAGAACCTCAGCCTATTTAGCTTACTAGAAGTTAGATAAATGCTATCTTGAAACAAGATCTTGTAGTCTAACAGGAAGGAAAAGCAGTGTGACAGCTGTGCCAGGGGAAACAGTAGCTGGCATGGAAATCTTCGAAATAAAACCAGATCTCTTTCTACAATGCAGTTTGTCAATTCAGGTTCCTAGGAAAAATTGTGCAGCATGGGTATGCTGAGAAATCAGATCAGGTCATAACCTTTAAATCCCCTTTCTGTTCTTTTTTTGTTTTACTATTATTTTACTACAGTAAATGTCTGCAACTCTATTAACTCAGTAACTAATAATAAACAAAGCCTGCTATAATTTGGCTTAGCAACTGGGAGTATCAGAGAAGGTGACAGATTTTGGAGTATCAAAATTACTTTGGGTCACCAGTATGTAGCAGCTGTAAAAGACAAATGTGATCTGCAGCTATATCTGCCTGAATATTTCAAGAGAAATGGGGAAGAACTAGTGTCATGCACATGGCCCTGGTGCTTAGGAAATACTGATTCAAAATAGAACAGCTGCAGGAAAGCAAAGGGAGTTTAAAACCTAAGAGATTGAAAAACCATGGCTTGTCTTACAAGAAAAACGCTACAAAACCCAAAACTAAAAAAAAAAAAATCTACCCAAACTAACAACAAAAAAAAATCATGTTGATAGAATCTTTCTAAAATACAGGAGAAGAAAAGAGCTATTTAAGGTAAATGACAACATTGGAAAAGTAAATATTCTGTTATCATATTTAGGCTGGAAAAAAGTCATACATTATCAAGCCATCAACATAACCAGCTTTAAACTGGAACATTATGGTATCAGAAAAGTTATAGCAGAGATGTCTATAGCAGGAGACGTTACCTGAAGACACAAGAGGTACCTTCTTGCCAATATTTCTAAGAAAAGTCCATAATTTCAAGCCTGTATTTTTGAAGAAGCTGAAGGTCAGCTTTGAAACAAATATATGAGCCTGTTAATTAACAGGATTTGTTTATCAAACACTTAATAATGTACTGAGAGAGTTTATTTGCAGGTTGACAAACAGAAATGTTATTTTTTCTTATTTCAGATACCCTAAGTAGCAGTATCAAATAAGAATGAGTGTGTAAACATCCTCTCAGCAGAAAAGAACAGGTTACTTACCTATTGATTCAACAACCTAATTCATATGCACCACATTATAAAAAACATGCATTTAGTGCTTGTAAAGTGGCCACACAGATAGCTCTGAAAACTGATTGAATATTTATTGTCTGGGACTACAAATACTGTGGCAGTTGAAGCCCCTTCCAAACCCTGCCCATACAGGCAGCTTTCACTCTTCCCTCTAGGAAGCAGCTGCCTGCCATCCAGTTCCAGCCTCTGCTGCTGGGAAAATCAACAACTGCAACTGTGCTACAGACACTTACCTACTGAGAACAGGAGCTACCATCAGCATGTGCTGCCCATGGAAGTCCAGGAGCTAGCTACAGTGCTCTCTACCTCACTGGTCACCTTGGCTACGAGTGCAGAGCTAAAACCAAAGCCCTGTTAACATCGTCATTTCTCAAGACAACTACTAGGAGAAACATAATGCAGTGGATCTAAAAACTACTGGAAGTAAAAGCAAATCCTCTAGCTTGTCATCTCACATCCTTAGATTCTCACCTGCTCAGGACCCATGGAGGACAACCCTGATGTAGGCACAGAGGTCGCTGAGGTCATGCTGATCTGCCCTGTCATCTGGTTCATGTTGTTCATACCACTTGTGTTGGTTGCCATGGATACACTGATGTTCATGTTATTGTTGTACATGCTGGTGCTTGCTTGCTGCCCAAAATGTGGTGGGGACTGTTGTGAAAACATGCTACAGCAAGGAATGGAAAAAGCAATGTGTCAGACTTAGAACGCTGAAGCCACTAAAGAACTTTTAAAAATATGTCTTAGCTAGAATTTGTATATGCTGTCATTTATTCCAACTTCAAAGGAAAAAATTAGTTTTCAGCTGCATTAATGTCTAAGGTGTAGATTTTCAAAATTTAAGGTCCCATGTCTGTGTACAAAAATGCATGCCTTTGCGTGTGAAACTATGGCAGAGTACAAATCTGTTATGCACGTGCAAGAACAGCCAATTAACTGTCTGAAGGAGCTTTGTATGTATTTTAAAGTAACGTTTGGAGGGAGAGGAAAACACCTTTAACCTCCAGTGTTAGCACAGCACAGGACTGTTGAGCTGAGATTATAGAAGGGTAATAAACTTTCCTTTTTGCAAAATAGGCTATTTGCATATACGAATACCAGATTTGCACACACAATTATGGCAAGCGGGCACAAATATAGACATGCAGTTGTGCAGGAATTTATTTACTAGGTCTTTGCACCAGGTTTTGAAAATGTGGCACTGTAAGAAACAACATAAAGTCCAAGATAATTACTATCTATGTTTCTTTAAGGGCACTTCTGAACAACTTACGGGGGAGTAACTGTGGGAAACCTCATCCCAGGTTTTATTCAGTCCAAATGCTTTCTGGACAGTATCTTCCTTCCCATTATGTTGAAAGCCATATGAGAGACTTCTTTACATTTCCTAAAATGCACTTCACTGTTTACACATCAGTGTTCTCTAGTCTTTGAGCATAATTCAACAGCCAATGAAAGAATTATTACTGACAATGTGTCTGTTTAGAGGATGTGCATTAGACTGAAGTACTGGAAGGGCTGCTGTGTCTCAGTGTCAGTGGCTGACGTCTCCTGCCCTGTGAAGCACTGCTCCCTCAGCTGAGGAAATCTTTCAGGGTTAACACTCAACCTTGCACTTGGGTACTCTGTTAGGCTATTGCACTCTGAGACCTGGTGCAGTGCAATGGCATTCTGGGCACAGGACCAAACTCAGAAAATCCCACCATTCTCTTCTTTCCAATTCCATGCCTTTTCAGGCCACCTCCCCCCATTTTTAAGTTGTTATCTGGATGGCTGAAACAGTACACTACAGATCATTGTGAATACTCAGTGGCTTGTGTAAGCACATTTGACATGTCTCTGCTGTAGAGCTGCAGTTTAGCAAAACCAACCATTGGACTTATGGAGCTGCCCCTGCTGCCATTTTTGGCAGAAGCCATTGACAGTGGTAGCTATGCCTCCTGCAGATGCTTCAGGAAGACTGAGAGGATGAGGCATGGACAAGGATGAGGATAAGCTGATAAATCAGCTGCTTTAGGAGGAACTTTACTTGGATTAGCCTCATCTATAAAATACTGGTGTTTTCGGTTTATTAAATCTTTGTCAACTAGCAGGAACAAGATTTGTTGCTGTGCTAGGACAGTAAACCTGAGAACTTCAGGATGACAAAAGCACGGTGCTAGAGATAGCTGTGTGCACCCCAGTGCCAACTGATACAGGCTGTACCTGACAGCTCCTCCCATCTTCCAAGGAAAAGCTCAGACCACTGCCATCTGGAAGCTCATTGCTGCCTACTGATAGTGTTCAACATCCAACCCATTTGATTTGGACAGATGATTATTAGAGCTACACCCACTGGGGCAGGGGCCTCAGCTGAAAAGGTGACTGCATGCATGAGGTATTGCTACAATGCTGTCAGGCAATGACAGCTATATGCTGACCCACAGCATGTGCAAGTACTAATGGGCTGAACCTGGTTACAACTCCAGCATTTAAAGTGGGAGGTGATAATCCAGTTACTGCAATTCCAGAGGAGTAGAATGCATAGCCTCTGGTTTAGCTGATTCAGCCATGTAGAAAGCAGCGTGGGATGAAAATCATATGCAGAAGAAATGCATCCACACAAACGTTAGGGGCTGGAGTTCACTGTGCAGCACAGATTCTTCTTAAGGGCACACTGTTTGATCAGTTATAACAAAGCAATGCTTTGTGTGGATGCAGGTCTTTTAGCTATGCACTCACTTTGCCTTGTATGAAGACAGAATTTAAACCAATTTGTCAAGCCAAATTGAAAAGAAATCTCTTTTAGGATAGATAGTTAGCAACAAACAAACAAACACACAAACAGTTAACCAAAATGAGCCCATTACTCTGTGTGTTCCTTTTGGTTTTCTTCTGGATTTACCTGTTACCACCCATATTCCCTTGTGCCCACCCATTCATCTCCGTAGAGGACTGATAGGCAGGGTTAGCCTGAGACTGCTGAATCATGGGGCTTTGAGTGTGAGCCAGCCTTGGTGACATCAGTGGACTCTGAGGAGTGGTGGCCCCTGTGAAGCCTGGATCGGGCTGCTGACTAATACCTGCAGAAGAAAATGAGAAATTTACCCATTGTACATTCAGAGTTAAAACAAACCAAGAGCTCATACCTGCAAACGTGTCTTTAACCAGTCTTACTTTTATCATCTGGTAAGAGTAGATACCAAATTTAGAGTTGGATGGACATAATTTGTTATATCAATAGAACTTTCACATAACATACTATTTAATATAATTATAACATAACTTATACAGTAGGTATAAATAAAGAAACTGTATAACAATAACTGTATGGAGGTAACCCCAGAACAAAGTGTTTTGTAGCTTTGTAGAACACAGAAAGGAAACAGCATTAATTATATTACACATCGGGTTAGGGGTAAAAAACTGAATGCCTTATCCAAAACTGATTTATATTACTTAAATTGAAGAGGTTTTTTTTAGCTCACACAAAATTCAGAGTCCATCAAGCAATACATACATATATATGTTTGTGTGTGTACATACATTTATCTGCATACATCTATATATAAACCAACACACACACTGCACTTCTGCTGCTGCTCAAAGAAAGAGCAGTGCTTGGAGAATAACTGGTACTAGAGCTAGGAAAGTGGAACCTCCAAGGGGTCCAAATGACCATGTTTTCCACTGTTCCCAGGGAGCCAGGCAAGAGCCTGTGGAGAGGGGGCCTGGACCCAGCACTGGGGGGAACATGGGGGAGTAAGGACTGACAAAATCCAGTGAGAGGGAGTGGAACCAGTACCGTAGTTTGGAGGAAATGGAAACTGCTGTGCATTTGCCTGCGGGATGCGCGGGTTGCTCATGGTTGCTGGGATGCCACCGGTGGCCACCATGCTGGGGGTCATGCTCAAGCCTTGCCCTCGCATCATCAGCGTCCGCTGCTGCACCTGCTGCTGCTGCTGCTGCATCTGCCGCTGCCGCAGGTGCTGGCTCAGGATCTCCCGCTGCCGCTGCGCCAGCATCTGCGCGTTGATGGGGCCCTGGGGGAAAACCACCGCCACCCATCCATCAGTAGCCCTTCCAAAGCAACCCAGCCAGCAGAGGCATCTCCACTAGAGCAATCTCAAGGATTCCAGCCTTTTCCCCCCTCATCACGCAAGTAACAGAAATATGAAACAAGAGAGAATAATCTTGCTAACGCTTCTGCAGGGAAAGACTTCCAACACTGCGAGAGTCAGTAACTGAAATAACACCAGTGTTTAAGGCTGCAGTGATTTGTATTTGCAAATGGAGCAGCTCATTAAAAACACACATCTTTAGGAAATGAGAAGCATGTTAAAAATGCAGTTATATCAAATCTTTACTAAACAATCATCCATCCCATGTAAAAATGGGAATGACTCTCAGAAATGAAACAACAAAATACTTCCTATCACACAGACTGCAATATTTGTATTGAAACTGTACTTGCCACATAGCATTACTATTGCATTACACTGGGGCAAGAAAGCAAAAAAGGAAGTGGCTTTTTTTTTTAAAAGGTATTCTTTTTCTCACCTGTGTTGGCACTCCAGTTCTCAAAGACAGATTCATATTGGAGACGCTGCTGATCTGATTTATCAGTGGCTGCCGATTCTAAAGAGGAAAAAAAACCAAACCACCCCAACACCAAAACCCAAAAGTTTTTAGAAGGAAAGGGAAAAAAAGAAGTGTTACATACATTGTCATACAGATCTACTTCCCTGATCAGCTGGTCTATAGACCTAATTCTACATATCCAAGCAGTGACTAATTTTCCTCCTCAAATCCTACTCCCATTCATAGAACGCTGTTTCTTAAAGAGATAATACAGCATAAAAAGAACAACCCAGGCACTACGCTGTTTATACAAAACATGCCCCTTCCATAGTTCATGCTCTTTTTCACTTTGGGACTGGACTGTTGAGGTTTACTCCAAATTAGACCTTATCCTGAAGGCCAAAATGTTCTTTCCTCCTTAAATACAAAAAGCATTGATATCTCACTGATAGTACTACAAACCTACGTATCTAAAAACAAAACAAGAAACAGTAGCTTAATTCTCAGAAGCAGACCAAGGCCAAGGAAAAAAAAAGGATGTAGGATGTAGGCAACAGGCAGCAATAAAAGCAGTTAGATTGGCAGAAGAGTCAAGATACAACAAATAGAAAAAGATGTATATAACAAAAAGCAGTGTAATAACCTTGCTCAAAGACTTGGTGAGATCTAGGCTTAAATACTGGTCATGTTCTTGTATTGTACTATACAAAGAACAATGCGAAAATGCCAAAAAAGAAGATCAAAAAAGAGAAAGTGCAAGGCACTATTCTGTCAAAACTCATTGTGGCTCCTGTTAAATTTTAGCTTAAAAGTGGAATGAAGCAAGACCCGGTCTATTTGGAGCGAGCTGTGCTGCCTGTGAGAGAGAGCTGGGCACGGAAGGGGCCGTACCTGCTGCGCCTGGAGCCGGTGCTGCAGCTGGAGGCGCAGCTGGTTGGGCTGGTTCTGCACGATGCCGGCGGGCCGCAGGCCGGGCCGGGGCTGCATGCGCAGGGCGGTGTATCCCGGGCGCTGCCCCATGGCGTGGAAGCCGGGGTCCTGCATGGGCGCGTAGCTGCCCTGCGCCATCTGCGCCTGCGCCGCGTACTGCTGCGAGAACACCGGAGCCTTCTGCTCCATCAGCATGCTGGACTCCTGGCTCGGGAAGGTCTCGGGGTCGACAGCTTGGCTCTGCAGAAATACAGCAACAACAGGAACAGTTGGTGGGACACGGCTTTCCAGAGGATTATACGGGACTAATACAGACAGTCTGCAAAAACAACCTTCCAAGATGGGAATGTTTTGAAACAGAAAATTATATTAGCTTTCTTTACCTCAATATAAAACTTAAAATAAGGAGAACTGGATATTTGAGTATCAAAATATATTCATGGAGACAAATTCCTCCCCTCTCTTTTCCTTTGTTCTGTTTATTTTTTCTTTAAATAAAACCCTATAATCTTTCTTGTGTTCTTTACACAGACATTGCATTACTCTTCTAAAGAATAAAAACCTGAAACGACAAATGCTAGATCAAAATCTGTAAATGAAGTGATGCTACCATATTTTGCCATTGAATCTGAGATAAATTCAAAGGTATTGCAAATGAATAAGTAGATTTTTATCAGTATCTTTAAACAAAATAATGACTTGAAATAAAGATGCCTGAAACTATTACAGAAGCTAATGTGAACAGAGTGCCTAATTCTTTCAGGGCACTTTTGCACTAACTGATTATCCATTAGCATAAATAAACTAACACAATTCTAAATTCCATTCTAGATACTCCCCTAATATTTGCTCTAGCCAGAACAATTTTACAGCTTATTCCACACTGACCTTGAAAATGAAGTTAATCTAAATTTCAGTGCCCTCATGAAAGAAAGTCTTTAAGCTGCTGTAAAATGTTTGAAGGCTGTTTTAAAAAACATTTTTTAAAATGAAGCAGTCCTCTTATCTGCAAGATCCTTTAACTGTTTCCACTGAATTATTAATTAAATAGAAACATATTTACTGCTTAGTTTGAAATAAACCATTATTCATATCTTTTGTGATGGTATTCCAAAACCTATATAATATTGCGTGAAAGTTTCATAGCGCAAAATTGAAGTTCACCATTAAATTGTATCTCCAGCTCTACACCTCACTGACTTCTGTGTTGTACCAAATAGGCTTGGAGACAGCTTTCTCATGTTCAAAGCAGAATTTCATTGGTCCTAGTTCATATCTAAAATGCAGACTAGTTCACAAGTTATGCTCAGGGTGCTGATGAGTGCTGGGGAATGAAATGGGTATTGCAGGTTCCTCTGAGAATATTAAGTCATTGTACAAACATATACTGATTTTGGAAATAAAATTCTGATGCCAGAAGTGTCATGAACTAACTTTTACTCAAAATACTTTTATTTTTCCACTTTTTTTTTTGCACATATAAGAATGAAACAGGCAAGAACCACAGGGAAATCAACAAAAATAACTGTGGGGAAGAATGGATGAAAAAGCATATAACAAAATGTATCAAGCATGCTTGAAGTTTTGAACAAAAAATTACAGTTTAAGTGCTTGGAATGGAATCAGCTGCCTCAGATAAATCTCATCCCTTAACACATATTAATCAGCTAAGGAAAAAACCACGGGTGAATTTACACATCTCAGGTTTGCTAATCCAAAAGCTTGTTGCCCCATCACACTAAAATCTATCCTGCTCCTCGGCTAGGTCTCCTCGGCTCCTAGGTCTTCATGTTCTTATTTTCCTATTTCCTATATTCTGTTGGTGGCCATGATCTTACCTTTTGTCCCCCTACAGCTGTTCCTCTGACCACCATTTTTTTGTTTTCATCAGTTTAGTTGCTTAAAGCAGGTCAGAAGAAGGAGATCTAGGTGAGGGTGGCAGAGGAGAGGAAGGAAGACTAAACCAGGGGCTGAGGAGAAGTTTTCAGGTGACACTGTGCCATGAAATGGACTTCCACCATCCTATCTTGCAAGAAGAACTTTTTCAACTCCATCTTGACAACATATTTTATAAAAGCCATATCTAATACATGCAAAATACCACGTTCAGTATACCTGGCTCACTAGTTCAGGTATTCCTAGAGCCCTGTCGATTTCTTCTAAACCATCAAAATTCCTTAATGCCATGTAAAGCTGATCCAGGAGAGCACCCTCATCACTTGGTGACTCTGATGAAGGATGATTACACAGGAGATCATCTGGTGAGCTGCCAAACGGTTGCCTGTGAAAACATGAACAGAGGGTTGGCAAACAGCTGCTGGCAAACATGAAATAATATCAGAGGATTAGTATTCACACTGAACTAACAAGTAGAGACAGAAATTATTTTAATTGCTGCCAATTTTGGTTAGAAAGTTATTCTGGGTGGAAGTCATGCTACCCAAATAAGTAACTAAATGACTAATACCTGTCAAGACCCTACAAGTGTGGTATACCTGACAAGAAGGAAAACCCAACAGAGGTAGCCCAAGTGCAAGTGCATATTACAGGGTCAACAGAGGAACTGAGAAGTCAGTATAGAATATAGTCACTGAAGACAGAAGGCTAAAAAACTGTGTTTTTAAAACTAGTTGTAACTTTGAATGTCTCACGTCCGATCAATTATATTATCACAAGTAGTACTCATTTCCATAGACTCTGCCCTTAGCTGGTTTTCCATCAGGCTAAGCAAGCCAAAGAGGTCACAGACAGGTCTGTGGATTGTCTGATCTCGCACAAGCTGAACATCTGGAAGAGCTGGGCAGAAGCATGAGGGAGCAGGGAGAAAAGGACATTCCCCTTTTTGCTCGCAGGAAAACACTGCATCAGCCCACCCCAAATGCACACTTGGTAGCAGTTTATACACTTGGTTATGGGCCCTGGAATGACATCAGCAAGAACTTGGGTATTGTCAGGCACCATGTGATGACTCTATAAATCCTGCTTACCTCACCCCTGAATTTGTATGCGAAGCACACTCGCAGTTACAAAGGCAGAATAAAGGTTTGTTATAAACCTAAAGGACAGAACTTCCTGAGAAACCAACTAAATCTGAAATAACACTTTATCTGCAGCCAAATGACATGTTTTTGTTCTGCAGTTCACACACCTGCCCTGCTTCACGCACACTACCACAAAACTGCAACAGAAAATAAAAAGAGCAGAGCATTCTGCAGGCAAGGGCAGCTACAATATGCACATCGTGGAAGAATCCCATCCCAGATAATTACTCAGAGACAACAAAAGCTGTCACCCATGGAGGGAGGAAAAGCACTATATGTGAACCCTTTTTACATGTCTGTTTAGAAAAAACAAAGAAACATGTTTGTGTATTTAGTTTCCATAATGAGATATATGGTTGCCATGGAAGTCTAATCTCTATGTCAAAGCTAAGCAGCAGAGCTGCATCGTCAGGCTGCACACTGAATGAACTCAAGGGATGGCAGGCAGGAAAACTAATAAAGATATATTCTTTTTAATTGGATCCCAGGCAGTAAAAAAAATAAAAATAGGAAGGATATATGACACACCTTTTAAACATAGCAAAGTATTAATCAAATTCATATATAGAGAAATTTCTCTAATTCCCATACATGAAATTATAAATCAGCAAAAAGGAAAGGGCAAAAAAAATCCTTTGATTCAAACTGCTTATAAACTCTAAAGATAACTTCTACAGAGTGATCTATTATATGGAAAAACAATTGATGAGGCTAACAAAAAACCCTCTCTGAAACCGCAAATGAGTGTGAACACACATGATACAGAAAACTAAAACATTTGTGAAATTCTGTATATTAAAAAATGACAATTACTTACAATTTCTCCATTTCTTTTATATACCCCAATGACAATTTTAATTTTTAATTTAATACATTTTCAATCTAATACAACTTTTTCACTTAATACATGGCAACCATCAGATTATAAAAACAGCAATCTTGGGGATTAATAAAGCAAGAAATGGCAGCATCAATCAATTAATAGTCCCTGGTTGGGGTGTAAATGATCAAAATATTGTTACTTTCAGATGCAATGCAACGGGAATGTTTTCCACCATCTTTGGCTATAAGGATATTAACTGTAAGGAATAAGGAAATTACACAGCTATAAGGAAATTACGACAAATGCAAAGGTAAAAAAAATGGAAGAATTAACTGCATGACTCGCTGACCAGACATGACCCTGTATTTTCTTTTAAGGTGTAGTTTTTAAACTGAATAATTCAGTCATACAAACAGTGCATTTTGCATATGGATATGCTAACTGAGAGAAACACCAGGAAACATCTCGAAAAGCATGGAATATAAGAAAGAAAATGTCACATATATTTATGGACAGTATTTTTGGGCATCCTAATGAAAACTAAAAGTAGTCAGTAGATTAACACTTTTTTCAAACATTTTTTTTTCCAAATGTATCCACTTAATTTTCTTTTTAGCAATCCCTCAATTTACTACTTACACAATTGAAAATATTTAAACATTTTGCACTTGCTTGTCCATTTTGCATTCCTTAGACATTCCATATATACACAGTCTCTCTAAAGTAAGCTGCAGACCTTTTGGAGAAGACATGGCTCTTTTTTAAGAAGTATAAGCTGCTTATAACAATTGTGCCATCACTTAGAAGTCTTGATGATGAATGAAGTTATTAATACATTACATGTGAGTTAATGAGTTGTGACCAAACTGCAGTTCTGATCACCTGAGGAGGAGCTAATTCAGGGAGGAGGCAGCCTTCCTTTCACTTCATCTTTCCTTCCTCCTCTTTTATAGAATTTAGGTCAATTAAAAGAACCCAAACAAAACATAATTAACCATGTCCTACATCACTTAAAATGCTACCCTGCTGCAGGAAGGGACAGCTATTATGACTACACAGTCATGGCTAGTACTACTGGCACTCTTCCACATTTAGTGTTAAGAGTAATTGTTAACAACATGAACAGCAAAATCAGACAGAATCATGCCCACATTAATGCTCCAGAGCTGAAAAATGGTGCAACTATCCCTCAAGTGCTGGCAGCATTCATTGTGATACAGAACTTTCGATTCATTCAACACATTACATGGCAAAGAGAGCATTTATAAATATGACCGGGACACACATACATTTCATGAGCACAAAACAATACAAAAATTAAATTGATGTACATTTGTTGAATGGTCTATGTAGAACTTTGTTTCCATGAGGAGTGTAAATTATAGGCATTCAAAATCTCTCTGTGTTCTGATGTGACACCAAGACTCACCTGTTCTGATTACCAAAAGTTGCCTGTTCTATAGGCAAGATGCTGTCTGGCCATGGTGCAGTCTGATTTGGAGGTGCCTGCTGTTGGCTATACTGAGGTCCTCCTATGTTCATTTCCAATTCAGATGGCCCTAATCAAGAAAAAATAACCATATCACTTTTCTGAAGAGAAGCATGTTAATTCTTTCAACTGAGTTACCTATGATATTGTAAAAGCAAAAAAAAAACATTAAGACTTCAGTAACATTACACTTAAAAGCATCATTATTCCTTTTTTAAAATTTGCTTTTAAATTTTGAGAAAATATGAGTATTCTGAAAGTGGTTCAAAATTATAAAATAGCAGATACAACATTGTAGATGCAAAAATGAGTAACACAAGCATAAGAAAAAGATTGTACATGGAGTCAGTATTATAATGCACTTGCTTTAAAAGTGACCAGGAACCATTATCATTCCACAGCATATGGTCTAAAAAAATTCCACAGTCTTTAGTGAACCAAAGCAACTTCATGTCCTCTTTCTTTGGCCACACAACAGTGGAGCTACAGAGTAGCAGGAACTGTCCATATCAAAACATGTTAAAATTCAGCATTTTTGACACCTTCTTTCCCATGTCCACAGGAAAATTTCACTGGAACATATGGCTCTTATCAAATCTATAAATGAACTGAGGATTTCTTACTTTCTTTTTTTTCTCCTGTTTCATCTTTAACAATCCAGCATGCGCCAAAAGGAACAGCTTCACATGAGACTTACCCATATTCATGACCTGAGATGGAAGCATCTGCCTTGGGCCAGGCTGGTTGCTGGGTCTCAAGGGGATGCTGGCCGTGGGGTTGCGGATCATGCCTGCTTGCACCGGCCGGTTCATGGCGCCAGCCGTGGGCGCGCACGTCACCCTCACCGCGGGAGCCTGGCTGCCCCAGTCTCCCGATGCCATGGCAGGCCGAGGGGCATTGCCACCAATCATTCCTGCACAAGAGCCAAACACGCTCAGGTACCAGCACATGATCAGAACAGCCTTAACACTACTGCTGCCTGAGGAGCTGCATTTTCAGCAGTACCAATGCAGTGGTTTCACTCAAAGCGCACTGCACCACCACAACTGCCCGTCCAGGTGTGCAAAGCTGCAGAACGAGGCCTTACACCGCTTAGCTGAGGGACTGGAGACTGTGATACATCTTACAAGAGGAAGACCCTTTTATCATTTCCGAAATGCTGCTCAGGGTAAGTGTTCCCACATGTGGTCTGCGACAGGTGCCGAGGGTGTGTGGATAGCCTTAACTTCCTTCCTCAGGAAATGAATCACGTTTGCTGATGTGTGTCAGTGCTTTACTTTCCAAGTGCTAAGTGAGAATGGGGACTTGAGTACCAACGTGTTAACACTAAACACACTTACAAATTAGAAGGATTGAGTATCCAATTGTGTTCTGCAAACATCTTTTGGCTACTTCTTTCACTTGGAACCCAGAGCCTTCAGAGCTTCAAGGCTCACCCAGATAATCTCAGACGAGTGTACAGTGCAGGGAAATTACTCACAGGAACTTTCCGATAGATGCTGAAGTTCATTACCGTTATTATAGGGGAAGTCCTCCCACATCTACTGTAAACAACTGATATGTTTTATTTACACTTGGAATATATAGAATACTGCACTCTGATAGCAGCCAAAAAGCCTCAAGCAAAACCCAACACAAAAACCCCCGAGTCCCATAGATAGCTGTCATAGTATTTATGCATTTCAATTTTGTATCAGTCAAGAGAGTAGATAAAACACTGATTTCAGGTTGGACTAGTGGTTCAGATAGCTTTTTTTCAGTTGCATTAAGCAAAATCCCTAAATGAATACCAAAAGCCACACAATTATTACTTGTCAGTTCAAATATTTGGTGACATACAACCAGAAAAAAACCCTCTGAAGAGAGTCTTTGTTTCAGCTGCTGTACAAAATTTGCTTTAGTGTTACATCCTCAGGTTCTGTCCATTTGTGTACATACTCTATCAAATGAAAGATGTGCTGTGCTAGAGCAAGGCAGGGACACAATAATATTCACTAACTTGTATATATAAGATGAATAAAATCCTCTAATAGGTACACAGAATATGACAAGAGGACACTTGAAAGAATGCAAGTTGATCACTAAACTGCTTAAATAAATGCAGCCTTTGGCTGCATGTCTCTTTTAATACTGATGCAAATTAAGTATACAAATTTGACATCAAACAGCCAGCTGAGAGGATTTACAATGCCCATTTATTTACTCAGAGCTCTTAGAGTGCTTGTCGCACACTTGCACAATCACAGATTATGCACTAGTTGAAATAAATCCATCAGCCAGACTGTATACAGAATATGAAAGTAAGAGGACACTTGAAAGAATGCAAGTTGATCACTAAACTGCTTAAATGAAAAAATGCAGCCTTTGGCTGCATGTCTCTTTTAATACTGATGCAAATTAAGTATACAAATTTGACATCAAACAGCCAGCTGAGAGGATTTACAATGCCCATTTATTTACTCAGAGCTCTTAGAGTGCTTGTCGCACACTTGCACAATCACAGATTATGCACTAGTTGAAATAAATCCATCAGCCAGACTTTTCTTGTCAAACAGGCTATATGTTTGTTCATTATTAGGTGAACACGTTGTTAATTGCAACATCTGATTGTTCCCAAAAAGCAGCTAAGGCTACTAAGTAAAGAATAAATTAAGGGCAAAGCCAACTTAATCAGGGCAACAGTATTGCCCATGACTTTGTTTTGAAAGACCCATCTCTATTGGTAGGTAAAAAGCAGTGCATAAAAGGCAGGACTAAAAATATGCAGACACAGAAATTCAAAATAAATATGCCAATACATAACATCCACAAAACAGACTTCATGGAGAGTAATAATCTGCACTGGTATTAACCCCAATGTTAAGCTGCACATGCTACAGCCTGTTACTCAAGTATATTTGAAAAAAAAAAAAAAAAAAGGAAAAACCATCTTACCTGCACTGCTGTTGCCTAAAGTTCCTTGACTTCCTATCATCCCTTCATTCCTGCCCATCAGTCCCGGCTGAGGTATCACTGAGTAGGGGCTACTCGTTCTTATGGGTGGGAAAGTTCCTGCACCTGTTGGGTTCTGCAGTGTTATGTCAAGTGGTAAATTCTGGTTTGGTAACAACCTGCCCAGTTGCCCTGCTCGTGGGTTATTAAAAGCTAGACAGGAGGAGCAAAGAAAAAAAGCAAAGTTACAAAAGTGGAAACTTCACTAGGTTAAAAAAAAAAAAAAAAAAAAAAAAGAAGAAAAGAACCTAGACACAATTAAAGCTCCTGGGCTCAGCTATTTAATGTTGCATAATTCACTCACTCCATATCTGTCTGAGAAACATCCCTTCTTGACATTTAAATACAAATTTCAAAATGGAACATTCTGACACTAAACACAAACCATATATGACGTATATTTAAAGAAACTTTAAATGATGCAATTTAACTGACAGAAGAGCCACTACAGCAAAATACACCACCATGTGATGTGCATACTACTGCCAATTAATCTTATACCTAGTAAGACTGTAAATGCATGCAGATCCCATCCTGAGGCAGATTGTTAGGAATTATCTCAGTTTGGAAAGTCTTCCAGCACAAGCTGTGCCCCTGAAGAAGTTTTCAAAATTAAGGACGGACTGACTCTATATTGGATCCCACAGCCCCATTTCAACATGTCCCTCTTAATTTTTTGGGTTTTACATTTTTTGTCATTAATAAAAAGAAATACTTCTGTGATTCAGTAACAACAAAAAACCAGTCCAGAAACAGAGCTGTGCCACCATAGTATTCTGATAAAAAAAGAACCATCCTTGACAGCTACTGCCACCTTTATGTAGCTACTTTCTTCTGGGTTGTGCTTTTAAAATCAGCCTCTGCAAATTAAACAGCAGACTGCCTCAGCAAAGTGAGTTTCAGACTGTGACTGGCAAGCATCTGGCTCAGCTGGTCTTTGGGCAATGTTCCAATGCATGAAAGCATCCTCTGTGCGCTCAACTAGCTCTCAAACATGAATCAAACACTGACCTTGTAGCTTTGATTCCATTTCCAATCATACCCATGAAATACATGCAAGTAAATTAAACATTTTTGTGAAAATGTTATTTGCAATACTTTCAGATAACTTCCCCTAGAAGAGGCTCTAATGTAACAGCATCCTTAGAGCGACTTCTGCATTTTTGTGTTCATCACATTACTGAGAAGTTAAATTAATTCCTTCTTATTTTAGATCGAAGTAGTGCTACTTTTGAATCTGAAAACTTAGATGAGGTTTAGCAAGTTTGTAAAAATGCACAGAAATATCTCACAACAGAGGTCTCTTTTATTTTATAAAACCAGACTACAGGAACTCACTGTATTCTTTTAAAATGTCAGTTCTCTGCCAGGTGCATTTGTATGTATAGAAAATATATCATATTACAAACACCTAATTCCTAACCATGAGATTTAAGTTTTGTATTGTCTGCCTGTTCAACTAAGCAAACAAAACTTACTTATGAAGCAAAAATTACTTTCTCAAGATTAGGGATATCACAAAGTCTAAGGACTGAAGCAAAATTAAACTTCAGTGACCGTTTCAGAACAGTTTGCTCCAGAAGTTTGACACATCACACAGATAAATGAGTTACTTTATGTGCAGCTTTGCCAGCACCAACTGATATTACAAAAAGGAATTCTGGAAATGCAGCACAAAATAACAACACAGTTGATGACCTGTGATGGTGCTTAGATCACATCACCTCCTGCTTATTCTACTCTTTGTCAGGATGGGCTGAAGGAGGCTCCCTATCCCCCATGTAACAGACTCTAGCAATTTGGCAGATCTAGCAGCCTTTCTGTTTTTCAACAGGCAAAAATATCTGTCTGTTGAAAATAAATGTAATTCATTAAAACCTGTAAAATTAAAGTTTGGTATTTCATCAGAAAAAAACAAGTATAAAAAACCCCAAATCTCTTTTGGAATTGTGTATGATTTGACATTCATTCCACATTGCTTTTTTGTGAACATATGAAAGGCCCCTCACTTTTTCTGTGGACCTGTTTTCTGTATGATCTTCTACTGAACACAAGGCAGGAGTTCCTAGGGGAATCAGGCACAGACTCAAGACTGAGCCGAGGGAGAATATTTTAGGGTTTTAATTTAGATGGGAAACAGGATGCTTTTAGAGAACTGCTGCTAACCATGAAGCCACTCTCATTTACAGTCATACTGCTACTGTACTGCCAGTAGCTTAGAAAGCAGATTTAAAGCCTTAGAAAGCCAAAAGGCTGGAAGGAACAAACAGACCTTGCTTCAGGAAGAATATGCTGAAGACTTCACATGCATAGAGATTTCCTTCTGACTTTAGAGGTGCTGCTGTTTGTACCTCTATACTCACAAAAGCAAGTATATAAAACCCAAGCATCCTTCTCTGGGCAGCATGGATAACAAATGATAATTTAAGAATATGAAGTGGCCTTAATATGAATTTAAACATGAATATTTATTGATAGAATATTAGTATTTATCTAAGCATTTTTAAGTAATTTGAGTGAATTTGAAAGTGGCTCAGTGTCGGTTTAGTATTATCAGAATGGCTAAAAATATTATCTAAACCCTGTGTTCAATAAGAAAAAAACCTAGAGCACATCTAAGGAAGTAAATAGATGTGGCCATCCTAGCCAACAGGAGCAAAAAATGAAGTAGTGTTTTTTTAATGCTGTTTTATTCAACATTAGTACTTGATAATAGTCCTGTCTTGCTTACTTTCCATCACACCATGATGGCAAACCAAGGTTTCAATGCTGATTTGTAAGCTGATTAATAAGGTTAAGGAAAGCTGTCAGCTGGAAGCGACTCAACTAAAAGCCACAATCTCAAATTAAAGTTGGCTATTCTTAATCTTCTGTCCGTCTATTAATCTTGTGGTTTTAGAAGAAGACTCTCCTTCATGCTTAGAAAAGCTTTGCTGCAAGAGCTGCCAGAAAAGAATGACCCACATTGCAAAAAAGTGCACGTGCTCTCCATGCCAAAACCCTGCCAACAGCAGCGTCACCTATCATGGCAGGAGGGGATGTTTGATTTGAGGGTACCCCTGAGAACATCTCTGGGGACACAGAGTTCCAGGATGTGTGAGCTAGACACAACTCCTGTGTGCCTGGAGCTGGGAGGACCGCAGATGGCGCTCTGTCCCCACACAAGAGCAGCCCAGGACGGGGAGCTGCCCAGCTCCTCCCTGGCTGACCGGGGCACCAAGAGCCCGCACCGGGGGGTTCCCGAGCCCGGGGTGCACTCACTGCTCTGTGAAATCCTCATTGCTGGTTTCTGGGTGGCCACTGCCGCGCCGGGGCTGCTGTCACTGGTGAGCTGCATGAGGTCATTGATGATGGCTTGCTTGTCCACCGAGCCTGCTGGCACACCTGGGCGGCTATCCGGGAAAAGCTGCGGTAACTGGCTGTTCTGCAGGTCATCCAGAATCTCTTCCAAGTTATCCAACTCACTGCCTGGCTGCAACGAAGAACACAAAACCCACAGTACAGGGGGCTGCTCGCCTGCTGTTGGCCAAGCCAGGCAGCCCCCCAGTGTCCTCGGAGGAGCCTGGCAACAGGCCTGATGTGGAGGAGGCTCACAAACCTGCTGGAAGGGGACTGGGCAGGCTTCCCAGGGCTACTCTGCCTTGCTTTTGGGGAGCCCAGTGTGGCACTGGCACCCTTCAAAAGCCCCGCAAGGGGATGGCTGATTCCATACCTTGGGCAACAGGGGGATTCCTCCCTGTGGCCTCTGTGATCAGAGCGGACAGCGGGGATAACAGGAGAGCCAGGAGTGCTGAAGATGGGGGTTTATGTAGATATAACTGCTATTTCTTTCAGCACACTTGTATTTCTAGTCTCTTTATGACTTGATTAAAAGCATACAATCAAAAAGTTACTTTATGGCTATACCAATTCCTCATATGCCTTTTCTTTGTTATATTCAAAACCTGAACACTGAATAACTCTACAGAGGTTAAGTGGCAAGATATATACATTGGACTGGGAATTTATTTTACTCCCAACTTCCCAAACATCAAAAATAACTTCTCCAGAGTATGACAAGAGAAATATACATATGAATTTACATTTAAACTCAGTTGAAAATTAATGAAATAAAGACGGGAGAAAAATCAAGTTCACTTTATACTAACATAATTACCGACCTGCTTGTTTTTCTTGTATACTGATTTTCACTGGTATTCTCTTTTGTCCGCTTCTCTGTCTAAAACCTCCCAGAATTAAAATAATTTTCTGACTGAAATGTGGAAATCATTATAACTCATTGTAATTCTCAATCCTAAACTCTTGATAAGAGTAAAACTTGGGTAATAATTAAGAACAGGGTGTCCAGTTTCAGTTTACCACCATCTTGAACAGTAAATATAACAGTATTGATAACAAATATCTACTCAAAATCAGTGTCTTCGTTAGGAAATGTGCAATGACAGAGAAGAGGCAGAGTGAGCAGCCACCTGTGAAGGATGGGGAACTGAGAAATAACACCACAAACATGCGGAACTGAAATACAATTCTTCCTGGGCTTTTTTTTTTTTTTTTGGTCCTTCCCCACATCATGAACTTCTTACTGAGAGCAAACTTGGGCCACAGATCACAAGATACTGTAGAAATACCTGAGATGGCTTTAAAATACCTACTGAGGTTCTCACAGGTTAGCTAGGAAGCACTACACATTAGTCTGTACAGAACTCCTGCCACCACATCTAACCTGCTCCTGGGAAGTCCAGCTATTTTATTCAAAGGTAGCTAAAACGTCCCAAGGTTACACTGCTAAGTGCTTTTTTTGGGTGACTGACTGCAAATAATCACGGTGTTATTTTTTATTATTTCTACATCATGCCCTCGTCATATAAATTGTAGTATATGGTGCAAAAGAGGAGGGAATTCACCCCATTAAAAGGCAGCATGTGGGTGATCTAGAGACTGGTGTTATTGGCAAAATGGTAGGAAATCAGAGAATCAGAGGACTGGAAGAAATCTAAAGCCTCCAGGCAAAATCAGTGTATGCCATTCCCTATGGAAGTTCATACAACTGCTTGTTAAAGACATCCAGAGACAGAAAATCCACAGCTTCCCTGGAGAATTGGTTTCAGCACTCTGCCATCCTTACTACTCTTGTATTTTTTTATCAGTATCAATACAAAATCTCTCACGCAGAAATTTAGACCCTTCCTTCCAATCATATTTTGAATCTGGAGAACATACTGTGCTACCCTTTCTTTTCCTAACTTTTTTCTGTATTTGAAAACATGTGTCCTTTTGTGTTCTAAGCTGAAATGAATAAACAATGTCAACTTGTGAATTTTCTTCAGCAAACAACCTGTTTTCTAGGCCTCTCATTACTCTTGTTGCTCTTGTGGATTGCTTTCTGTTGACCCACACTTTTGCTGAAGCCATGTCCAAGACAGGACTTAAAATGAAGCCTTATAGCTGCTGGGTAAAGCAGAAAATTTCCTCTACACATAGTATGCTTTGATGGCATATTCCAGAAAAGCATGTGATTCTTTTAATTACATGACATTTACTGACTCTCACTCATCATGTCATCACTATGATCCCTAGAACAGCTCTGAAAAACTCCTATTTAGTCACTTCTACCCTCATATTTAAAAAAAAAAATCTGAGACAATATTCTTGAGTACTGATAATAAACAGCATTTATTCACCCTGAATGTTCTAATATTTTGTCTCTATCTCTTTGTTGTAGCTGAATCTGAATTGTGTCCTCCAGGGTGTTTGCAGACATTCAAGTGCCACACTCAGCTTTACCAAGCTCTATTGTCACATCAGGTCATTTAGGTTAACTGAAACATTGAGCAGCTCTAGATGCTGCACGAGTCCTGCAGCATCTCCATGCTGACAGCGAATCCTTCAATAACCACTGTGTGTGGAGGGATTTCCAAACAGCTTCCTCACCACTCACAGCAGTTTCATCTTGACCATGCACCTCTACCCTGCCATAAGGAAAAGGGTCTTCCTCAAAACACCTTGACACACTATTTCTCTTATGCCAACAATTCTGCTACCCTCTTACTGGAGGAAAACAGGTTGGCTGGCCCAAGACTACCTGTTCTTGACAAATCCTTCTGATGACTCACTGCTTTCCAGGCAATTACAAGCAGCTGGGTGGACCCAGCACATCAGTAGAAAAGGCTGTGCCAGGAGGAATCAAAAGTGATTATATGAAGCCTAAATCACTGCAGGGACAGGTGATAAGCAGATTCAAAAAGGCGCTCCAAGAGACAGCCATGAGTGATGTTTATAGGAGCTGCAGTTTGAGCGATGGGAGATCTGCTACAAGAAGACCGCAAGAGCCAGGAGAAGAGACTGATATAGAGCATCATAAATTATAGAAGGATGATTCAGTACTCTTTGGGGGAATAAAGACATATGGCCTTCATTACATGTATCTGAGACAACAGCAAAGGGAAGTTTTATATGTTGCAGGGGGGGGGTTTTGGTTGGTTTTATGTGGGATTTTGTGTCATCTTTTCTTTTAGCATTCTGGCTACTGCAGTTCTTTGTTCAAACACTAGATATATATAAAAAAAAAAAACCAACCTCAAAACCAAACCTAAAAAAACACCAATGAAGAACATATTGATCCAAATATGTCAGAAAACTGCACTCCCTAAGATGTTTCTAATTCCTCTCAGAAGTGGCAAAGAAAGGGCAAATATAACAGATGTATTACAACAACCCAAACACGTAACCTTCTCCCTTTTTTTGCTTAATAATCAATATTAAATATTTCATCTTTATATTTTTATAAGAGTTCTCAACTGCTACAAAAGCTCCAAGAGATTTGGAATTAACACCATCCTGTGACGTTAGCCTAAGTCTTTCCAGATTCACCCTCAAATGGCACCATATGTGCAGAAACCAACATTAAAATATTTACTTGGTTAGATTCATGGGATTTTTCTTTTATTTATATTCTATATTTATTTTGTTAATGGCCTAAACTGAATTTATGTAAATAGAAGGCACGCCCTAAGCTCCCTGTGAAACAATTATTTGTCAGGAATTAAAAAAAAAATAAAAGGTACCTGATAAAGTGCTAAGCATCACAAGAAAGTTCTTGTGTGGGTATTTTCATTATGTCTAAGTAATTTTCATGTCTAAGTAATGCAATTATGACAATCTCTGTAGAACTTGGGCACTAAGTGCCAGAAAGTGTAAGACAAATAATTCTCACGGATATTTTTGCATTTGAAAAAGTACTTAATTTATACTGTCATATAGAGAAATACAGATTAAACTTAAGAGCTTACAGAATTTTTTCAGCTGTACTGAAAGGCAGCTGCACCTCAACATGAAGTTTGGTTTACAAAAGTTGCTGTTTCAAAGCGTAGCTTCCATGGATTGTGAAGGACTGGATAAGATACTGGGTAAGATGGAAATCTCCTTCCTGCCATGGGCATTGCCCATGGCTTGCACTGTGACCCTATGTTCTGAGGACTTACAACAGGATGTCTTTTGGTGGGGACACAACTTGAAACTACACCTGATTTGCATAAATTTGAAGTTTAGCTCATCTTCTACCTCAGAAGTAAGGGCAAAACATTTGACCATAAGAGGCAAATGCAACCAAATCCCTGCTCCAAACTGGCAATAAACTAAAGGATTATGAAAAGAAGGGAAAAGGAAATTAGAAGTGGAACCAACACAGTATTTTTCTCCCTGGTAACTGCAATAAATATAAAATTGGCTAGAAATCCTATTAAATTATCAAGCTATTCTATGACTAACATTTGAAAGCAGAACTCTTACTGCAAGACATTCAGAAAATGGAATCCCCATTCTAAGATTTTGATAGAATTTCAAGAAGAAACAAATGCTCCTCATGAACTTAATGGATTCTGGACTATTAAACCAGAAATAGGTTTTTTAAAGATGAGTGGCATGTGTAGAGAAAATATGCTAGTATTGGGAAGATACTGGTTTCCACATAAAGCATGAATACAGCAGAGTTGATAAAGTATGTGAGGAACACCAGAGCAGTTTCTGAGTTTTAGGACAATAATGTACATACTTGAGATGATATCTGGAACAGCATTTGTGCAGACTGTTGCATTGCAAAGTCCCTGTCAAACAGTCTGTCTTTATGGTCTACTGAACAAAAAAGAGGAGAGTACACTTGCGGAGATTGGGATTTCATTCCACGCTCCCCCAGGTGATTTCTCAGAGAACAAGCTACTTTAGCAAGGCCATATCTAACATTGTTCATGATGTTTCTCTAATGTTCCCCTGTACTTTCACTCTCCATCCAAGCTGTCAGCCAGTCCCTGCCACATCTGACCACCTCCTCATCACTGCAGGGGCTGCTCCTGGCAGTGGACAGTCAGGGAGAACAGGAGAAGGCAGGTTTACTGCTGAGGGACACTCTCTTCCCTTTCTAACAGTGGTGAGCCATAGGAGAACTTGTGGTGCTTGACAGCAACAGCCCTACTATGGTGGGTGCTGGAGGAAAAGCCCCGCTGAGTGTCCCCAGCAGGTCCCTCTTTCATCCCCCCTCCCTTACAGCTGCTGTAACTGGAACAGCAATCAGCCTAATAAAGCCTGATAATCATCATCCCACCAAAGGAAGGGAAAAAGGTAAGGCAGGGCTGGAAATATTCTCTGCCATTTGAGAAAGGCTTCCTGTCAGTTGCTGCTCTCTGCAGAAGAGTATGTTTAAACACACTACCTAGAAGACTGCTATTTTTGGTACAGTGGTGCACTTCAAAGCATTTCCTGCACAGAAAGTCACACCAAAAGTAAAAGGAAAAAATGCAATGGCTCTGTTGCCTCCCAACACACTGATCTCCCTTGTAGAGGCCATCCCACCGCTGCTCTGCTGCAGTTTCCAGAGAAACTGCACACTCCAGTGACTAATTACTTAAAAATACAACATTCCTCAGGGAGGGGAAGTTTTAAATAAACCTGCAAAATAGGTAACACAAGCACATGGCTAATTTTTACATATGGGAGGAAAAAGGAGGGGGAAGGATGCAGGAGGATGGAAGAATTTAGCTCAAGAATCTGTGTTCTAGTCTTGTACTAAATAGTTCCAGCTTTGATCTAAATTTAGGCAATGAGCACTTCCTGTGGGAGACCATCTTCCAAAGCTGAAGAGTTTTGACACTAAATATTTTCAGTGATTTTATAATTGGGGTAAAGTGGTTATTTGTTTAAAAGCCTGGCCTTCAGACAGTTAAACACTTACATTATTCTATATTCCCCATCATTTCCTCTCCATGCTGGACTTCTGTTTATTCAGCTCCAGGTTTCACTGCATTTTAAGTGGGTTTTAAAGTTCTGTTTACAGCCAACAGGAGCAACAAAAGCCCTTCTGTCATTATCCAGCAGTCTTCCATCACACTGACAAGACTGGCTGCCCCATACCTTGGAGCTGAGGAAGCCCCTACCACTTTATCCTACACTGCTTTGTGCTTTTCTGAGCAAACCCAACCCCTGGACCTTTCTGTACCTCTGGTTCTCTCTCTCCTGGGAGACAAACTCTGTCTTCAAATTTTAAGAAAAGGCAATACATCCACAGCCCGCACTTCAACCCCCTCAAATCCCTCCCCAGCCTCAGAAACATAAAACCTAAAAATAAAAAATGAATAGACCATTCACTTTACAAAGTTCATCATTCAGGAGATCCGATTTTGAACTGCTTGAGGTTGGCAGTGCTTGTAGACACTGAAGTCTCCTTCTTGAAAGCTGGTTTTATAGTTAGTCTGATGTTTACATTTAGGGTGAGACACAAGTTGCCTATGAAAAAGTAAAGCAGCTAGTTTAAACTGTTCACCTTGCTACCACTTGTCAATGGGAATAGCAATAAAGAGCAGCTTACCTCATCTGTTTTAGACACACATTAGGATAAGATTAAAAAAAAATCCTGGAGTGTTTTTCTGTGTTTCCATCATCAATAAAACGAGTTTGTAGTACTACCTTGGACTAGACAGCAAAGTTCTAGAGAGGACAGAACCTGCTCTCTGAGAATTGGTTTGTAAGCTAAACTGTTTCTTGTGTACTCCACAGAGATCACAAAAGAGAACATTTTAATTCTTTTAGAAATTTAATTCTAGGGGAACAAATCATCTGAAGGCTATGATTTTGATCTATGGATGAAGGGCATACATTTTTTTGTGATTACCAAATTTTACATTCTTGCTGAGTACCATTTCGGAGGATTGAAGATCTCTGCTTTCAATCTAGTACTGACTTCAATGCGCAGGATCTGAACTAGGAACTGAAATCTATCAGATATTTTAAAAATATGCCATTCTTGCTAGTTTAGCTGTGAATTTCTTGATATCTGTATTTTTCTAGCCTAATGAACCATCAGTTCTCAAAGAGAATCTAAAGCCTACCTCTACACACACTAAAAAATACAGGCTTCTATTGAAAACTAAACTAACATCTAGGCTTGAGGATAAATCAGCGCAAATTTCAGCGAGGAGAAATTAGTACAATTTGGCTTGGTTTCCCCTAAAGTGTGGAAAGGATTGAAAAACCACAGTTGCTCCTACATAGTGGCAGTAGTTGTCAAAAGCAGTAAAGTAGGAGTTGCCTGGATAACTGAGATTTTAACAATGCTGCATCTACATTGGAGAGGCATGTTTGGCCTCTATGTTTTGTGGTTATAACCACTGTTGAAAGAACTGTCTACTAGTTACACACTGCCAAAATGGCAAATAAAAAAAAATAATAATCCAAAATTGTGTCTTAGGGCTAAGAAAATGTAGTCTATCCCTCCTCATCCTCACAATACAATATAGAAAATATAAACAAGAATGTCTTTATGCACATAATAAAAAGTTACGATGGGTTAAAAAAAATAAACAAGCTCAAAGCTACTCTACACATTAGAAAATACACAAAATTTTTAAAATTAAGGATATGGCTGTGAATGAGACACATGAACATTTGCATTGTATATAATCTGATCATGATTTACAAACTAAGGCTTCACACACAGGGCTGCCTAGGGATTAATGACCAGCTGGGAGATTCGATAGTGTAAGACAAATCTAAGGATCATTAACTCCAGCTAGTTATAACCTTCCCAGAAAATGCTTTATACTAAAATTGATATTGTAATTACCCATTTCATAAATAATATAAACAGTAATGCTGAAGTAGTAGATTGCTTTCACTGTGTCCCTTTTTCTTGCAAAGCTCTGAAAACTGGAGCGTTCTGGGTGATGTGGACCCGCTGCTTTTGGAAAGTGAATTCTGCATGAAAGCCAGTGTGACATAACACTTCTTAGCATAGGTCCCAACAATACACCATTTATTATTGCGTTGGGCAGCACAGCAACAAGTGATCTTGCAGGGAAAGCAAAGAAATTCTGAATGCAAAATTCAATGCAGATAACCTTGCATGAGGAGACATGATCTCCGTACTGAACAATTAATCTTTCACAGAGACTTAAGTCTGAATATAAAGAATTTTTAAGATGACAAGAAAACCCCATCAAATCCTCCAAACTGGCACAGAAGTCTATTTGCTTTCATTTTAATTTGCAGGTCAAGTATAGCATGAAGACCAGTAATGCAAAGTTGTTATCAGTCCTTTCAAACAACTCCTGTTCTTCTGCATGAACCTGTTTTCCATGGGAGGAGTGTAGCTGCTATGCTGGGCTAGGTCAAGGACCCATTTAGCAAGCACAACAGCAGTTCAACCTCAGCCTGTGGGAAAGCTGTCAATTAGGTAGCAATAACCAAGAGTCACGAGTATTTTCTCTTTACCTGACTACCATCTGGGAAAGGCACCCTGCATTATCCACCTCCACCCAGGCAGAGCCTGTGCTTTTACAGAGTGGGATCATCACAACCTAGTAACACTGACTGGGAAACTGAGCGAAGACTGGATTTCAAAGGACAGGTAACAGCCTCCTGAAGTGCCAAGATGATACTCTTAGCAGAAGTCAGATGGCAGGAATGCAGGCCTGAAACAAGCCATTCACACATAATGCAAAAAATAGCTTACCTGTTCATTAGGCTCAAAGCTTATCTCTTCTTTTTCCGTCCTCATAGCTATTAACTTTGTGCTACCGGAAGGGTCTGTCTTACTGTCCAACCGCTCCAGTTTTGGGGGTATGTCTGGTAAACCAATATCTTTAGTATCATCTTTATCTAGCAAGTAGCGAAGTAGTGCATTATTATTCTTCTTAGGACTCGCTGGCTCCTGTTTAACAGTCACCTCTGAACCAGGAGCTGTGCTACTGGACTCCTGGTTCAGTTCTTTGCCTGTGGCCTCTGCTGTGAGCTTGGCCAAATCTACAGGAGAACTACTGTCCTGCAATAGTCTGTGCAAAATTTTATGCTTCTCCTTGAGCGAGGTTCCGTGTGCTGAACCAGACCCAGGCAACCCTCCCGTGGAGTCCTTGCTAATGTCTCCCATGGTACTGGACAAAGGTGAAGGCTCCATCTGATCTGATTTGGTGGTCAGCAATTGTAAGAGCTTTGTCTGGCTTTTTCCGTCGTGCAGTTTATTCTGTCCATCAGGTCTCTCGCCACTGACAACAGGTGGCATGTTGCTATCGCTGTTGTCTTTCTGCTCTCCTGAATGGCAGCTGCTCTCTGCTTGTCCAGTTGTACCTTCTGATTGCTCCCCATATATTCCAAAGCAGTCTTTAGAGTCCAGGCTTCCCATCTTGCTAAGCTGGGGAGGATTCATATTCACAGGGGAATTTTGTAAGTTTCCCATTTTTAGGTCAGGTGAAGCCAACGACGATCCTAGAGAAACGCCGTGGCCCTCGCTGAGGGCCTGAAGTGCGTTCAGGGAACTGTTGGTGTAGTTATGGCTATTTCCTGTGCTGCTGCAGACTCCCACAGGTGAATGTAAGCTTCCTGCAGGGGAGAACTGACTGGGTGGGATGCGAGGACTTCCTGCCACTCCAGGGCTCACACGATGCCTTGGGGAAAGCATAGAGTTTGGCTGCCCTGGGTTCATGCCGGGGCTGCTTTGAGAGGGGCTATTCATTTTTAGTGCATAGTTACTACCCTGAGGAGTGGATGCTTGTATGCTTGACACATGGTTCATTCCCCCTGAACCACCAAACCTGCCTGCTGGCATGCCCACTTGCTCCTTTGGGCCATTTATGGCAAAATTTATATTGCTACTGATGGTCATATCCTGACCTGGGTTCCCACTGCACATGGCCTGATGGGCAGGGCTGCTGGAACTAATTGGGTTCAATATCTTCCCCATTCCTTGTCCAGTCAAATCCTGATTCATTCCACAGACATTCTGCTCTCTATGTGGCAAGAGGAAGAAAAACAGCCTGTTAGTTAAATGACAGCGGCCAACTTGCAACTACATTACGGAAAAAGAAACAAAACCCCGAACCTCGCTTTAAAATAACACAAAACCCCTACAATCAAAAATAAATCAACAATTTGACAAAAGTGATATGCAACTCTCAACATGGCTGAACATTAACAGTATGGTTTTCCAGTACCTCATTAGAAAACAATGAGAGGAAAAAACAAAATTAAACCTCATTTAAATGACAGTCATTAGAAATGCTGATAGGTTACAATTTCACACTCCCTTTAATGTATCTCTCCTCTACAATTTGGCAAGAGCTAACTTCTAGAACTGAAAGAAATCTCATCTGAAACATATGACCCAACAAATACACGTTTTACAAGACAGCTGCGGACAGCTGTTTGCTGGAGTTTTGAAATTCTCTAAGTTAGCCCCACCACAAGGCTGGAGTGGGCTATTTGCCCACCAAGTTCATAGTGAAAAGAAAGTTGAAAAAGTCACATTTTTACACTGCCAGAGTATTCCAATACTGCTCCAAAACAGCCTGTGAGCCAAGGGAACTACTGGATACTTGTTCAGAATGAGAACAGGCTGTTAGCAATCTAGTCCTGCACAGGCATTTAGGAAAAGGGGAGAAGAAAAACAACAAACCACACACACAGGAGCTGAAACTCATATTTTAGAGATGTAAGCTGCAAGACAGAAGAAAGAAAAGAGAGAGAAACACACACACACACAGAGAAAAAGCTCTTGTGAGAGCACCTGAAGGTCACTTTTATTTTCCTCAGTAGATTTTAATTAGTTTATGGGAGGATGTAATACACTTTTTACTCTGTGCTAAAACTTAAATTAGGAAAATCAGATATATTCCCAAATGCTAAAAGCTACAAAAGAGACAGAGTCAAGTAGGTTAGGAAGGAAAAAAATGAGATTCTGACAAAAAAATCTAATCAACTCTGGACTTCCAAATACAAATGGAACATTCCTAATATGCATTCTCCATGAGACAAAAACCATTCCTATTTGCACAGTATAAGCAAGCGCAGATAAACCTTCAGTTTTGCTAAAGTGTGAGTAGTGAAATAATTGAAGAATACAGAGTAGTGAATCTTCTTATTCTGTACTGGTTACCTTAGGTATAAAGGCAAAGATGAAAAACATTAACCATTAAAAAGCTTATTACAAATACAGTAGTACCAGCACTTTGCTAAAAATGTGCAAGAAAATTTATGAGTACCATTTAAAAATTATTAGTGCTTGCTTTTTAAAATTTAAGATTTGGCACTTAATAAAATATTAGGTTTATTCAGCAGTCCAAAGAAAATAAATTGCAGATGGCTTTTGGTCGGATCAATCTACAATTTCTATAAAATAGTTTCAGTTATAATTATGTTTAGCACTGTTTTCTTCCTTTCAAGAAAAATGATACAGAGGATCGGGAATAAAATCTGAAACAAAATCTGATACAAATACACCAGGACATGCAATGACTTAATAAAAATTGTATGTTGAAGTTCTGATGTCAGTGATTACTCAGCCCTGACTTTAGCATATTATTGTCTGTACTTTTTGAAAAAAAAACCCAAATTAACAGCAGTGACACTTCTTAGGATTGGACAATTGAGAGCAACTTAGCCAAGCACCAGAAAAGACAAGGCCTGAAAGGAATCAAAGAATTAAGTAACACTTTGTCTAAAGTGCAGTCCTAGTAATCATAACATGTTTACTAGTAATCATTACATGTTTACATAACATTTTAAGAAGAACCAGAACCAATAACAGAATGTGAACCAGAAGAATTCTAAGTTTTCTAGATTTAATTACTGTTGGAAAGTTTCTTGTATCTACTATGCAAAATACAAAAAATAAAGAAAATAAGAGCATGGCATTGAAAATCCAGCATGCCATTTTTAAATTCTGAAACAATCTTACAGTCTTTTCCCGCTGCGAACATTGATTTCAAAATCTCACTTTGTTTCCATGATATCAGTTCTGGGTCAAATGAAATCTATCAGCCTTAAACCATCTATTTGCTTTGGCAACCTTGTGCTTTGCACGACTCTTGGCAGAGCGTGGATGTAAGGAAGCGGCCAGGATTACCTGTGAAGCATATGCAAGGAGATTACAAGCTGAGGTTCACTGGTCGTCTGAGAACGGATGAGCTTGCTCTTGGTTTGGGCAGAGACGATGGTGCCGTCCGACAGGGAAAAGCGATACACAGGGCTGAAGGCCAGCCCCTGCCTCAGCACTGCAGGCAAGCACAACAACACAGGTGAACTACTGACAAACTGCAGGGCAGGCAGCTCAGCTGCTCAGCATCTGATGGTCAGCACCGATAGATGCGGTGCAAATTGAGCAGAACAAACAAAAAGAGCGTTTTGAAAATAAACAGATGCGATGTGTACAAAAAAAAGGATCCCGCATGATGTAGGGTGATCGAATGAAAATCTGTAAGGAGTGACAGCAATAACAGGAAGATACTGTGAAATAGAAGATATTTCAGGAGCAGACAGGAAGCTCTTGATGTCCATTTCACTTTTCATCAAATATGTGTCTAATTCCTTTTGCTCCTCAAACACTTTTTCATTGCACCATCACATCATGATGATTTAATATAAATGTCCTTAGTTTTTAGATCATCTGTTTCCATTAGCCTGTATATTCTCCTCCTTATTGCCTGCCTCAATTGTCTTGCAGCAGTTACTCTCACTACTTCTTTAATTTAAAAAATGCATAAACTCTTACCTAAGAAAAACTAGGAATGAGAACGGGAAAGAGAAATTATTACTTTTAAAAGAACAAATACAAAATATATATAGCTCAAAAAATTACAAATAAAATTACCTACATCAAAACTGGGGCTCTGCTACACTTTCTCAGTGCTTACTGCATTTCAGGTTTGGGGTTTACTTCACTGAACACATTCTGCAGCCCTTTAAGTTTTTAATGTAAATCTGAACTCCAACAAATTCAGTTTTTTAACATCCATAGATCCCTGTGATACTTCTTTAATGAAAAATTAAAACATGTTATGGAAAAGCAAATCTCCCAAACATTTATTCTACTGTTCACTCTCTGTCATCAATGAAACAAACTTAGAATTTCTAGTCCAAATGCAATCACATTAGGATTGGAGACATGAGAGAAGTAAAATACTTCAAAATTTTTCATATAATCATTTAGGGAAAAAATAGGAATGAAGCACTACAAAGACATTTAATTTCTTATTTTTTCACATATCTGTATTTTCAGCGAGGTTCTTTCTCTCTCTTTTCTATTTTATTATTTTTTTAATTAATAGTATCATGTGATCTTCATTTCATTGCTAATCTTTTAATACTTCCTGTTGTAATAAAATGACATGGTTTTCCAAGTGTGGCCTTCATTTTTCTGGTCTACAGAGCTACCACATTTTCAGCCTTGCAAGACTGGTCACAATTGCTTTCCTTCCCTGTCCCCCACTGTTATATATTGTTCTGCAAGGTTGCAAAGTATTATCTAAGCAGTGAGAAAACAGGAAGCACAATTTAAACAACCAGAAGGGGTTTTTCAGAGTAAAAATGTAATGAAAAACAAAAACCTACAACAGTGAAACAATACAAAACAAAATTTCACTGTTAGGTATGTCATTGTTTCAGTTTAACCTTTGGGCACCAAAAGGTCCAAAGCTCTTAACTTTAGCATATACCACATCAGGAAATTCCAGTACTCAATGCCAACAGGATACAAGTGAAATCTCTACTTAAATCATTTTCCAAACTAATTCTTTAAGCAAACAAGAATGTTTCCATATTCCTCTTGAGGAAATGCTATTTTTCTGACTGTGGCCAATAAAAACTTACCATACATTCTGCATTTTACACTGAGAGATAATTTTAAAGCATGTTTTTATTGTTTATCAGGCTAATGCTGCATTTTTTTCACACTGTAATGCTGGATTACATGTAGGAGATCATTACTTTGCTTCCACTGTCAAACCACAATGACCCGAAAACTGCAAGCACAAAGATGCTCCAGCCCAAGACATGACTTGTTTTTCTTCAGGGCAGGGAAGCAAATATTTCAGCCATTATTCCTCTTCAGTGCAGCATCATTTGTAGGAAAATAATTCCAGAGATTTTTCCTCCTCTTACCACTTACTCTTTTCACTTTGACAAGAAGAAAAGAGCCTTCTCATTTAGATTAATTCTACAATTTACATGATGATCCTAAGCTGCAACTGCAAAATGATACAGTGTAAATTCCAAAACACTTTTATTTTCACCACATCATTGAAAGCTTAAGAGAGGACTAATTCAAACCTTAGGAACTCAGTGTAGTAGCTTCTAATTTGTTCAGAAGTAACTTCAAGAAGACTGAAATAAAGTGCTGGGATGCCATAACATATAGCCCTAAATCATCTCTGGCACAAATAGGTCCTCACCTGCAACTGCTCTCTAATCCCCTCGTGTCACTTTAATTGCATACTGCCTTGTTCAGTTCTGTCTGAAATCACAGCACAAGGCTGTGAACTTTTAGCACTTCTACTGTATATACCCCAAAAACTGTTATCTAAAACAACACAGCATTTCTGCTTCCACCTGAAGATTTCAGGAAAGCAGAACATATTAAAGAATATTTAACTAATGCCTCATGACTAAAGCTCTTTTTTGTTGGTGTGTATTTGGTGGAATAATTTGATATTCCAGTTGCAATTTAGTATCCAAGATGACATGTCTGTTGCTTAATGACCATGGTAACTACTTGTTACAAGCCAGCTGTAAACCCTGTTCTTTAAACATGAACCCAAAGAATGATGCTTCCGTACCGGAAACGCTCCAGCTATTCCCAGTTGGTTTTGAAATTACTTTCCCATGGACTAGATAGAGTTATTTGCTTTTATTAATTTGGGTCTGTGTTACTAGAATTAGAAGCATAAGGGTTTTATGAAGAATCCCCAGCCAGCCACTACCACAGAAACCTCCTGGGGACCATTCCAAAGTGCAGTACTTTCCTATTTCTTACCTGCCATAATCTTGACTGAGTAGAAGTGCTTGTGGTATGTCCTATAACACTTATCAGCTAGATACAGTACAACAATGTAGGTTTCCAAATATGAGAGGTGCAGCTTTGGGAATTTGCACTTAGTGTTTCTCACAGGAAATGTGACACTAAAAGTCCATTTTTGTAGAGAAAGGAAATACAGGCAATGAATGGCAATGTGTGAGTTGAGGTTTTGAAGAATAATGGTCAGTCAACATTTGGACAACATGCAAGGGTCTTTCCTTCCAAAATAATTTTGACATTTTGAAGATTTAAAACACACTCCAGGATGGCACAGCTGTAACAAGAAGGCTAAAACAACCAGTGAGAAAGCTGAAGACCTCCCTGGAGAGCCATCAGTTTGCTAAGTAAACAGCTTGAGAAAGGGACTGTCAGTAGCTGGTTCCATCAAAGCATAACAAAGAGAGCACAACCAAGAGATACAAATGGCAAACAGGTTAAATATATAAAGTGCTAAAAGTATGAAACCTAACCTTCCTGGTGATGCCTCTTGGCAAAAGATATTTCTCCCTCATGCTGTGAATGGAACCTCTGAATGCATCTTCTCACCAAATCCTCCCAGCCAGGTTTCATAGCTGCTCGCATGGTGCTTGTGTCCAATGAAGTTATTTTGCCTGATATTAGATACATTAGAAAGTATTTGTTATAGCAATTTCTCCAGCGAGGAAAAGGAAATAAAACTTAAAACTTCTACTCTTATTTCACAATACCTTGAAGATCCTGGCGTGTAGTAAAGCTCTCTGACGAAGGAAGAAGTGGTCTTTCCTTCATTGGAGCTCTTCTTGCAACACAAATCAAGCAAGACTGCAAATCTTAGAGAAAAATGTTACTTCATTTAATTCATATGGAAAGGAAAGACTTTTGCTTGCACAAAGACTTCAGAAATACTTTTAAAAAAGTTCCTTAAATCTATTTGGACCACAATATAGATTTTGTACCAATAAACGCATAGACAAAACTCAGTTTGTAGCTTCACTACTTCCCAAAACATTAAATAAAACAGGAAAGGTGGGTTTATTTTCTTTCAGAAGAAAAATTAACAAGGACTCCACCACAATCCATAAGTACTGGCACATGTTTATGAATCTACTGTAGATTCATAAACATGTGCCAATACTTATGGATTGTGTAGTAGCTCAACCACTCAGGAACTAAGTAATAAAGAGAATATACTATACACACAAAGAGCACATTTCTTCAACACTCACCATTTCATACTTTCTAACACAAATTTCTTAAACTTGCCTCAAATGCTTGTTGTTCCTGAGAACTCACCTTCACAATAACCATTTTTACTTACCTGAATGCTTACAAAACAATCTGAGGAAATTTACCTGCTGAAGTAGTAAATTGTAAAGGAAATGGTGAACCACAATTGTCTTCAAATTCTAAGAATTCGAAAAATTGCCCTTTGAAACCTTCTTCCTAGTCAGCTACATTACATTTTTCTTACAATTTCAGCAATATAAAACTAGGGTATCTCCTATTGAGATAAACAGAATTTCTCTCAGTTCTCTCAGCTGGTTTAACAAATAGGAGCATGCAAGTGTATATCCTCACAGCCAAGACAACAACACTTTTCTAAAGTCAAATTAAAAAAACCCAAAACCTAAGAATTTTTCCAATTTTCAGGACTTAGAGGTCACTTTATCAACTACTCTGGAAGTGCATTAACACAAACTGGAAATGGTAATTACCTTCACCGTCCTCCTTGAAGGAATTTGGTTGAGAAACAGCAAAGCACTGCATAGTTTCATATTTCTGATGTGCTTCCTGGTTATCATGGCCTTCTTCAGAATCAGCCAGAGGTTTCACCAGCATCCGACAATTGAAGGTATGGCTATTACGCCTAGGAGTGTCACCAGACCAAGATCCCCCATTCACTGAGCAAAAGATCAGATAGTGAGACAAATCTGGTACCACACATTTCTGCTGCTTATCCACAGGAAATTAATCAAGATGTTTTACAAACTGGTTGGGAAAGAAGCTCATTTAACAACAACAACAATTTAATTTTAATATTCAAGCCCAAACCAGCACATTATATATATATAACCAGGTCATATATAAAATTAACAGATTTTAAGAGCACTGCTAATTTGTTCAGCTATTACGTTTTTTTTCCAAGTGACTTAAAATGACATAGCAGAAAAGCAGAATAAAAGTCTAAATATTGGTGCATGTAAAAGTCACGCAGCACAGCAAAAGCCTGTTGGGCAGATCAAGTTGATTTATGAGACTGAAAAATTAAGGCAGTATGTAGGATCTTTCCAGTAAACTTAAAAGGTACTACTAAAAGATATGGATGCATTGTATAAAAATCTCTGTCCAGATTAGAAGGGAAAGAAATGAAACTAATATGCCCTTATAAAAACAGGAAGCAATACAATAGGGAATATATTGAAAAACACAGTCACAGCTACAATGGGAAAGACTGAAGGGCTGAAATGACCTGGGTGGAGCTATGGATAAAACTAAAGCCTAACACAGTGCTTAAGACAAGTAAAAAAAAGAAACAAAATCCTGAGATGCACAAATATAGGTACTGGACATCAGTCAGAGCGAATCACTGTTACACCACATTAGGAAATGGCAGGGTCATACTTAAAATACTCTTTCCTTGCCCTCTTCAGTCATAAAATGCAATAAATGCAGTAATATATTGACTTTATCCATTTACATTTTTGCTTCTTCAGAGTATATAAGTACAGTACTAAAATGCTAAAGTGAATTGAGTAATACTTTTTAAACTGCTGTGAATAAATGAGGAACCCAGTATTGACTTTCTCTTTCTTTTCATCTCCTCCAAAACTCAATGACATTAAAACTAATGAATCCAATATGAATCCAAATATGGCTGCAACTAACAAAACCAGGTTTTGAAAGTTAAGAGGAAGTATTGCTGAGAACAAAAACACTGAAATAAAAATTCTAACATAAGGAGGTTTCTGATTTTTTCTTTTATATTTCTCCTTTCCTGGGCCATTTTTGGAACAAGCAGCCTAGACAGAGAGTTCACATAGCTAATGCTGTCTTTTAGTGATTCACTCTGGAGATCCATTAAAAATATCAGCTAACATGAATTACTAAGAGCAATTTTTAAAAAAGAAAAATTTGAAAAGAGTGGAGGATGCTTTTGAGAATAATATTAATCATTCATAGTCTATATATACATTAAAAATAAATAATGTATATGATGAAACTGTAAGTAGTGTCAGGACATTAACTTAAGTTATTGAAATGCTGACTTACAAAACTAAAGTTAAATAAGTAATGGTATGATATCAGGAAAAGTTATATACCTAAAGATTTTGGCAGCAGAATTTTGACAAATTCGTTGTGGTCCCCAACATGCAGGATGCTGTATATGCTTGTGTTCATCAGCTCTTCTTGGTTGTACCTCAGGTACTGTGTCACATTCTCAGAAACAAACACAACATTACCCTCTGGGTTCACTACAAAGAAGAACCCATCTAGGGCCTAAAGGGGGGAAAAACAGAAAACCAGAGAGAGAGAGAAAAACACAATAGCAAACAATCAGATTAACAAAATACACAAAAAATAAATACTCCATTCAGAAGACATAACTGAATTTTTCCTCATCTATCCTAGTTCTTACATTATTGTCTGTAAGAGCAAAGGACACATTTCAGACTGAGCATCTAATCTTACATATATGACTGGTAAAAGCACAGAGAGGTAAACACCTTGCAAAATAATGAAACCCACAATCTCCAAGCACGATTGCAGATGGCAGAAATATATCATCCCTCTAATTTCATGTCATATGAGCAGATAAAGGGGGAAGATACAGTTAAACTTAAAAGCACCAAAGCTTTTTGTCTATGCATTCAATTAACAATCTACACAGACTTCTGCAGCTTTGCCTGATTTATTCACCTCTCTAAGGATTGGCAGGAAATCACTAGAAGGATTGTTAGTTATTGTATCTCCAGGGACAGAAATAAATTAGAAAAACAGGCCACCCACAATTCACTGTGGGTCAAAACCAAGCGGATCCATACTAAATGTGAATACAGCTCACTGCAGAACAAGGAGGAGCTGCCACAGCAAGCACAAGGCATTTTTTATTTGACCCAACTTGTATACTGTACAACTCATATGTTGGTCTCAGCAGGCCATTGGTTACAGAGATGTTTAAAACACTGCACATTACTGAGCAGCTAGCAAACCCAGACAATAAAAGAGAAGTCTAAGGATGGATTTTATTTCTGCATTCAGCCACCCAGCAGGAGGCTAAAGAGAAGACGGAACCAGGCTCTAGGTTAGAGGTTCACAAGGGAAGGTTGAGATGCAACAGACGCTGGCTGCAAGTCAGGAAATGTCATGGAGATACAAGAAAAAAAATTCCACCATGAAGGTGGTCAGATATGGGAAGAGACTTCAAAACCACCTTCCAGAGATATTCAAACCTTGGCTGGACTCAGATCTGGGCCACCTGCTCTACTCAGACCAGACTGCAATGGGAGGTAGGAATACAGAAGCTCCAGAGGTTCTTCCCAGACTAAGTTAGATAAGTTAGATAATGATTTTGCTCCAGGGGAGGGTCAGTGAAAGCACAATGCAGGCGGAGCAGCTGAGCCCACGGCTGACAAACGCTTTCTTTGTTCTATTTTAAAATGAAAACATAATAAAACCCACAGAGAAATGTGTAAGTGTATACTTTCCCTGACTGCCTCTAAATTAAGAAAAAACAGGTCTTTTTTTCCTCCTGTTGGCACAAATTCTAATCTCCCACATTGTTTTTTATCATTGCCTTCTTTTTGTTTCTGATAATTTTTGGTTCCTCCTGTTGATTCAGTTTCTTTGTGATCTCCATCCTTTATATGCACTTTCTCAACATTCATTACATTTTCCTGCTGAGTAGTATTTATTTTAACTAGTAAAGATTTACAAATCAGTTAATAAATTGAGGCTCTAGTATAATTTTCAGCATAATAATTTCTAGTACAATAATCAGCATCTCTGCTATGGATTGGTGTCTTAGGCTGCATTTCACCATCATTTGACACCAGTGTAAGCATGGCTTGTTTGATTTAGCACTTCCTACATCAAAACAGCAACCTGTACTGTGTGAGGCTATGAAGAGCCAGACCAGAGAGCTGAGTCGGCTGAAAACTAATTGAAGAAAAAAAAGATGCTAGCCACATCAGTCCCCAGCTGGCCAGCCATAGAAGCCACGGTATTTAGAGCTGGCAGAAGGGTGTGGGTTTGGCTGAACCATCCTGCTTGGCAGCTGTCCACACATTAATTCACAGGGGCTGCAAAACCAAAGCTATCACAGATGTTTACGAGAGTCCTAAGGAGAAAATTTTCAAAGGTGGAGACGGCAAGCAAGAGATTATGAGAATTACTGGCATCCCACAATAATCTTCAGTTTTCCCTACTGTTTCCTAGAGTGGCAACTTGTTTGGCAAAGAAGTGCTCTCTGTGCTGCTCCCTCCCAGCTGTTTCTTGAGTTGATCACAGACATGGCCATCTGGGCTTAGAGTAACAAAGGGCCTTATATTTCAGTCTCTCATTTCTTTCTATTCTCTTAAGAAAATAATCTTGCAGGTAAGCAGCAGCAGGCTTTTGAGGAAGTTAGTGCACCAAGACACTTGAATATTTTAGAAGCCTCCACTTTTGCAGTAATTTCTTATTTCTGTTCCCAGATGCGAGCCACCACAATCAAAAACTTTTCTTCAGAGCTATTGGGAAAATGGGTGAACAAATAATGGACAGTATGATGGAAGAGAAATCAAGAAAACAGATATTTTAGATTATATATTGGAACAGAAAATACATTTGTGTTTTTTGAGATGTTGTCATCTCTCTCTTGACTATTTTTCTACACTTTCTTCCTATCTACTTTATGCTTTAAGCAAGAAATATGTTAAAATATTCCTCAGAGGCAGCTGCCTGATGAATTTTACTCACTTCCTTCAGCTGGAAACACTCATTATTTTGAGTATTCTTCAGTTTTATTCTCTAATAAAAACATACAATAACATTTCTAAACCAAATCAACTAATAAACTATTCATCAGCACTGCAATTTTTATTATTATTTGGCAATGAGAAAAGGTAGGAGTTTTTTTTAAGAGGTTGTATAAAAGGGTTCTGTAAAGATTAAATAACTGAATTGCATTTCCATAAGGTGATAAAGACACAAAGAAAGTATCTGTAGTCTTTCCACAGCAAATATAGAACAACTTTCAGTCCTTTTTAAGTTTCCTGGTGCAAAAGGACCGTGGTTCATTAATTTCCATAATGTTTCATTGTTCATATGCAAAGGAAAACTAAATTAAATGGCAACAGAATAAATGGGTGATTTTACATGTCATGTTTGCTGAAGTAGCCAATCACACAATATAAGTATGAAAAATATAATCTTATTCTTATTTTCCTTGTGATTAAAACAGATCCTTACAATTAAATTAATAGAAAATTAAAGATAAATTTTAATATAGCAGTGTAAGAGATGAATACATAACCTTGATAGTAAAAACAACAACATTCAATTCAGTGAGTATGTATAATAAATATTAAATTAAATAAATTAATTTGTTACTCTCACTTTTCAAAGAACAATGCCTCCAACCTGTCTAGTCTTATGTTTTGCAGTGTGAATTTGGAGCCTTTACTTCATGCACAGTATAGAAAACTATGTCTTCATTTGACCAATTATGAAAAATAAAGCAGATACTTAAAACTGTTATACAGGTATTCAGAAATGACAGATTAGTTACACTTCTGCCAAAGCTTGGTTCCCTTAGCTTGATTCAGAGTTTGTGTTTTATATTACCTAAAGTTACATTTATTCTTCCTTACAGAAAAAGTCCATAGTCAGAACAGGATGGGAATAAAGAGTTTGCAAGTGAGTTTAAGCAGATAAAGCAGTAGTGCACATGACATAAGGATCCCTGATCGCATACCTACCCAACATTACTGCAAACACACATTTGGAAGCTAGGCTTGAATCATACAGCCCCTTGGGGTATCAAAATAACAGCTAAAATCAGACAGAAATCTCAACTGAACAAACTGAAATACACATCCTGAAAATCTCTCCTAGATTACTTTCATATTCTAGATGGAAGAGTCCTGCTTCAAGCACTGAAATGATAAAATATTAAAGCAGTACAACAGTGGCATGCAATTTTAGAGGAATATTATTCACTTGTATACTACAGTATATACAAGTCACTGTTAAAAGTGCAACAGGTCTTCCACAGCTGTTGTGGCTCAGAAAGAATAAAACATGCACAAGCAGACACCCAAGACTTGCTGTCAGCTGAAGCCCCTCAAGCTGTGTTACAAAGATGCAGAACTCTCCGCACCTCTCCCTACTTCAAGTTAAAGAGTTTAATCACTGAATGCAAGAGAAATAAATATGCTGCCTGCTCTTTAATGACATAATATCAAATAGCCAAGATGGCTTGTCTCTCCTGACCATTCCTTTACAGCAACCTCTGACTACACCTTTTAATTTCATTCATCCTAGGAGGAGCAGAACTGCCCTAAATACAGGGATTTTGTGCTCTTTACCTCAAGCATCATTGGTCCAAGTGCATCCTTGTCGATGACACTCTGACCTGTAGACGATACATCTGCTTTTTGCACTTCATCTTCATTAGCTGCTGCTGCTTTTTCTGCAAGAGAGAATACCATGTGTTAAGCGACAGAAGACTGATCTCACTGATACACCAAGAGCCCACAGAGTATTGAGAAGAGCTGTGAAATGCTTACAGTGCAACAGTTCTGAAAATGAGATTAGACAGTCTCCCATAATGATTCAACGGAAGCATAACCAGCCTATTTGCGTCTCAGTTTTCAGATCTTATGACACAAATCAAATAATTTCTCAAGTTTCTCTGCTTGACATTTCACCAAACTACAGAGCCTAACACTGGGCAAAGACAAGGGCTCTTTATGAAGGTGCAGTGGGCAAAAACTAGGATCAAGGTGTAGTCAAAGACTGACCTAAAAGAGCACGCAAAGCTTACAGCTGCAGAGCTTTTCCATGACCGCTATATTTAGAAGGAAAAACATAAGTCCACAATCTACGGTTTCAGTACTGAGAAACAGTGGCCTCAGCTCTGCTCCCATGTCTCCACCCACATTCTTACTATCACGTAATTTTCATACCGCCTTATTTACCAATATATTATTAGAACTACATACAATTTCAAGTGCTGCATTTGAAAATTGCAGGCAAGAAAATAAGGATTTCAAGTTCCTGGAACATAATGCCATATGTTAAAATGTGTTTTATACAGCATCACAGGTTATACCCAACTCCAAATATAACAGATATTCACAGAAATTTCAAACCTAGTGGGTTTACAATTCCTATCAAGTAATGAACTGTGTTAATTTTTCTATTTCAAGAATGATATTTTTGTTTAAGGATGAATTAATAAAACTAATAAAACTACTACGTAAAATAGATATTCTAATGCACATTGTACATAATAAATTAATGAAGCAAGTTACTTTTTGTTGTAAGCTCTATACTCAAAATTATTTCACTATTTTTCAAGCAGCAGTTATGTAAAAGCTAGGGCCATCCTGCAATCTAGAATATTAAAATTAATTAGAAATTTCTTATTTTTTAATACAATGCAATAAATTGTTTTACTAAACATGAAAGCACACTGAAATTTTAACAAGAATTTATATCTTCAACAAGAAACTACCACGTGCAGATGAAACAAAGGGCTTTGGAAAATCACAGAGAGTGAAAATTCAAGGATCAGTCATGCAAATTAAAATGTATCTCTGAGTGTACAGTATTTTCCACTATCTGTAGATCTGCAATAATGCAGGTAACGTTCTTCTGAATCTCCCTGGCATAGGTTTTAAGGTCAATGTGAATCTGTGCCGCTCAGACATAGAGTAAAGGAGCTGCTTTTGTGAAGCCCTGGGTGTTCTCCTGTCAGCGATCACCCGCTGGCAAGAAGGCTTTGGTCACTTGGGCTGTCTCATCCTAGATTTCTATGGTTTCTTGCTTTCATGAAATGACTCACAAAAATTTTATCTGTCTTCATAGGTGTTATACACTATAAAACACCATTGTGAATAATGATTTAGCAAATTGCTCTGAAGATGGAGTTGCAGCTAACAGACTAATTTTAAATCACTCTGATTAGCATAATCTGATAGAAATAAATTCACTAGAAAGAACTATTAACATTTCCTCCGCCACTTGAGCTCACGAGGACATAAAATTAGTATCTGTGGTTTAGACTAGGGGTGGGATTTTATTTTTTTCCTTACCTTTCTTGTTTTAGCAAAAAGCACAAATTAGGTGTAACACAAAAACAATTGAACAATCCTTCCCATGCTACAACACAGCGGAGTTGGCACCATATGATGACACGAAACTGAAAACATGTTCTAAAAATTCTAAAAGAACTCTAAAAATAGAGTTGAGCTTTTAATAAAGCCAGTGATGATATCTGTTTCCCATCTGTTCCTGCTAGCATAAAGTGATCTCTTATTTTCACACTGCAAAATATTAGAATGGACAGGGATACCAGCTTCTCGTCCTCATTCGACCACTGCTTCAGCCATTGATACCATCTTGATTATGGGAGAACATGGGGCTACTCTCTATGAGCCAGAAATGGAGGGGCTGCAGATATGATCCAACAATGGTGCGAAAGCACACTAATTACACTTTCCTCAAGTCACCAGTTTACAGACTACTTTTACTGATTATTTTTCACATAATATGAAATATTTGCTGCTGATTTTTTCACTCTTTCAACCATGGAGTTTATACATTGATAAAAACAGTTGTTTTCTTTCATATGCACTGATGAGGTTTTATACAAAGGAAAAAGAGGACATTTAAAATTATTGTAATAGTAATCAACACAGAAGCTGCAATACCAGGTCACACCAAGGATCTCTCAAACCTCATATCCACTTCCTGAGAGCCACTGCTTTCCTCTCCACTTCCCTCTTTTCTCCTTTGATTGTTTGATCCCTGACTGCTTCTGCTTCATCACCAGCTGTCCCCCACAACCATTTGACTTCTTCATTTTCTTTTCCCTTTTACACTCTTTTCCTCAGAGAGCCCAACATCTTTGTGGAATCAAAAAACTCAGTGCTTTCTCAAGGAAAAAGTGTAATGAATGGAGAAAATATGAAAATTCTATTTATACTCAAATGTTACCTACCTGCTTTTCCCAGAGATGGTGACAATGTACTACTCATGAACTACTACTACTCAGTGTTCATTACTCATGAACTCTGGCTAGGCGCTCTGAAAAGCAGTATAAATCACAAGTGCTCCAAAATTATGGACTTCCTAATTGGATCTGTAACTTAACTGGGTAAGAATTCAAGTAGCTGGAGAGCTTACAAGAGGCTACACATCCAGGCCACAAGCCACACTTCAATTCAAGTGGCATTGTATGGGAAACCTAGGCCTCAGACAGCCTCCGAGTAGGACCAGCTGTAATTCATGTCACTGTTATAAACTGCAGCTACTAATAATGTTCAACTATGCAATAAATTATCCATTTTTGACTGAATTACAAAGCCCCTCGTGTAGACTTTATCAGCACATACAAGACGAGTAAGTGCGAATCCTGTCAGCAGCGTCATCCTGACAGTCAATCATGGGGAATGTCTTGAAATGCAAATCTCTCCCTCAGCAATACAGCACATGGGGCTAATTGACAACAAAAATTTGTTAGAGAAAGGCTGGAAAAAACCAATGATTGATACATGAATTTCTAATGCTGACAAAATAATGCATTATCACAAGTCGGTATTCTTCGTTTTTCTTAACAGTTCCAGCTTCTGGTGTTAAGTGCAAAATGTAAAAGTTTAAAATGTAAGTGTAATGGTGCAAAAATGTAAAGTTTACTTTCCCTTTTTTACTTTTATCTTTTTTCAGTTGATGGGAGCCCAACAAAGAAATCAAAAGCACAGGGAGTTTATAATTGCAACACTAGATTAATGATGTTTGAATGTCAAGGCTTAGGCAAACAGCTGTAAAGGCCCAAAGGCAAAGCCTCCCAGAACCCTGTTCTCCCAGTCCCAGGAGAATCGTTGCTGTTTCCCTCTGACTAACCACAGCCACTAGATTTTGCCACTGCAGCCACATGGAGAGTGGGAGCTTCTTCCCTGACCTCACAGCTTCCAGCGATGCCTCCTGCTAGAACAGCGCTGCCCCTGTTAAATGTCAGCCGGGTGTTCCCGGGTACCTACAGGCACAGTGGCCAAAGGACAGCAGAGGAAGAGTGTGGACAGAGAAATACAGCTTTCTGCAGCCAGAAGATGTGAGCAGGATGGAAAGGGACTTCCCATGCCTTCATCTCCGTACAGGGAATTCTGAACTGGAGAGGGAGCATTGAATTAGAAACTGGTCCCATCCTTATGAATATAGCTACAAGGGATCAAGCACATTTTATCTGAATTACAGTAGTATAAACTTGACGCACATGAAATAATTATTAGCTCTGCTCAATTAAGAGTTTAGCCTAGAGAGAGAAAAAAATTTAAATAAAATACAAGTACCCATGAGAGAGATACTACAAAGAATATATACATCCAATTATGTAGTATTTTAGTGATGTGTGTAATTTAGACTTTAAACTGTGGGTATGTTTACAATTGCATAAGCAGTATTATACTAAAATACACATTAATATTTTCAATTGGGCATCTTCCTAGTGATCATAAACTGTATTTACTTTTCTACATTTAACATACAGAATAAAGAAGGAAAAAAAAGCCCTCAAAAATATTTTCTGATGAATTTATGAGTGGGAAGCCTCAAGATTTATTTAAAGCTCATTCCAGATTCTGAAAGCAAACCTTTGTAAAATCACATTAGTTTAACAGAAATTCATAAGTCGGAGAAATAGAAGCCAAAAGCAATAGTTGGAAGTCTCCTGCTACATTTTAACTTAGCAAGCCCTCTTGGTTTTCCATCTTCCCAACTCAAGCTATGTCAGTTCTCTCTACATTTCTGACAGCAGACTCTGAAGTGTTACTGACAGGCATCACCTTCTCTTGGGTGTGTTTCAAATCCTGCTTTCCTACAGGTGGGCCAGCAGGACCCGCTGAACCACTCAAAAAGCTCTCTTTGTCTGTATTCAAGCCCTGCTCCAACTTCCTTAAGGAAACCTGCTACAGAAATATTTCCTTCTTCGTGCTCTCTGCAAAACCAAGATGCATGTTTAAATTAAAAGAACAAAACTTAGCTTCTGCAGCATTTCAAAAAGATGAAGCATAATTTGAAAGAGAAAATTTGCATCAACACAGATTCAGCTGATTTTTCACTGGAGCAACTTTTAAGGTTCTTCACAGAACAAGAAGAGTAAAAAAGAGATCCCGGTGAAATGCTGGGCAGAGAAGAACCCATGCTCTAAAAACCACTAAAGAAAAAGGTCAAGCAAAAAAAGAAAACCCTGTAACAGGTAAATTCAAGTTTATCATCCAATACTGTTTAAAACAGGTTTCCCAGATGCCCTATATGTAATTCCTGCTCTTTTTAATTTTCTGGATTTGCTACTGAAATGCCATACTTATCTCAAATCACATACCTTTTCTGTACAATAGGTAAAAAAATACAAACAAAGAGATTTGTAAAAAGTGACACTAGAAAGCTCAACTCTGCACTCTTCAAAAA